CGCTATCTCTAATAGAATTGCCTGTATCATTAGTTATAATACAATTGAACAAAATAGTAAAGAACAAAACCGACAAAACCAAAACATTGGAGACATTGTAGGTCTTCAAAAGTAGATAAAAGTCAACGAGAATGGGCATTATAATGAATCTCATTATCTTCTCAGCTGATGCCTAAACTTTCGAACCTGATACTATCCATCAAAACAGAATAGGGGAACATCAGTCAAAAACAAGATGGTGAGAGTAATACAGGGCTTCAAATCGAGATAATAGAAAGTCAAAGTGGGTTGCTATATTATATCCTGCTATTTTTTTCCCTTTAATTAAACGGATAAAAATAAAAAAGTAAATAATGGAGTGGAGATTGAGAAAAAAGAGGACATAACAGCAAAACAGCGAAGATCAAAACATAACCATTTAAGCAGAATAGTGTTTCACCACCAGATAATTCCGACCTAAAAGTAGTTACCATATTGACTCTTTCCTTGAAGTCCTTGAGTACAACTTCATATACTGTAGCATTAAGTATATCAAAACAATGTAAAACCATTTAAGAGAATGACAGCATTACAGAGTATTTAGAATCGACTAACAGAAAATGAACAATGGTTTCTGTATAATCTCCTTGTCTTTAAAAGGTTTTTGCTTATACTATCGTACATAATAAAATCCAATAAGATACAACCTGTTTAGACCATTGGAGACAGAAGAACAAAAGCTAGATGAGACTTCAAAACAAGATGATACTAAATCAGTATTACCTATTAAGATGTCGTTTTCTCTAAAATAGCTGTTCCTATCATCCAATCTTCTCTGTCTCATTTCTGTTGAGCTCTTTTTCTGTCAGTAGCTGTCAGTTTGTCTTCTTCATTTTGTTCTCTGCTCCATTCGTTGTGGCCTCCCCGCCACCATTTCTGGGTTCTTTGTATTTTTCTTTTTTTAGAATATCCTGCAATACTTTCTGTAGGGTTGAATTGGTGGTTGCAAATTCCCCCAGTTCCTCTTTATCCTGAAAGCACCTTGCTTTTCCATCAATTTCCAGGGACAGTTGTGCAGGATATCTCAATCTTGGCTGGAGATTATTATCTTTCAAAGCTTGAATTATTTCCCCCCATGCTCTTCGTGATTTGATGGTTTGTGCAGAGAAATCTGCTGTAATTCTGATGGATGTTCCCTTGTAAGTGGTCTGTTTCTTGTCTCTTACAGCTTTTAATATTCTGTTCTTGTATTGAATTTCTGGAATTTTTATTATTATATGCCTGGGTGTTTCTCTGTTAGGGTTGTAGGTAGCTGGGGTCCTGTATGCCTCGTACATCTGATATCTTTACCTTTTGCTAAATTAGGAAAATTCTCCTGGATTATTTCTGTGAGTAGCTTTTGTAGTTCACTTGTTTGTGTCCCTACTTCTTCTTTTATGTTCTTAATCCTTAAGTTATGGCTCTTCTTATCATCTTCTTGTCTTTGTATTATTGCTGTTTGTTTCTTTGTTATTTTTAAGAAGTTTTTCATTTCATTCTCCCGTATTACAAGTCTGCCCTCCAGCTCAGATAGTCTGTCCTTAGTTTCTTTCAAGCTGTTATGCCAGTCTTGGATAGACTTCTTAATTTCTTGATAGTCCCTTTGAACCTGCTTCACGTACTCTATGCTTTCTCTGTTTTCTCCATCAAACAATTCTCCCCTCTTTTTCTGTTCTTCCATTCCACCATCTGTTTTTTCCTGGGTGGTGCTTAGCATTTCTCTAACTATTCTGCATACTTCTAGCTTCAGGTCATTGATAACTTCATTCCTGAATTGGTCTATGAGGCTCTCTATATGGCGCTTAATGTCTATTGGTGCGGTGTCCGCTATTGCCTGTTTCTCAGAATTGGGGGCCGAGGAGCCTTTCTTGTTGCTTCCCTTCCCCACATTTTCTGTTCCTTATAAAATGCAAGCTTACATAGGAGGCCCAGCTTCCCTGCCTGTCAGCCACAGCCTGATCAAATTGCGCTGGCTAGGTGTTCCCGCCCACCGCTGCGCACCAGGGAGTTACGGACTAGGCAGCCTACGCGGGAGTCACCCCTCCGGGCCACCGTCAGGCTCTGGGATCTGGGTTAGGCCAGCCTACCAAGTCCGCCCGCAGCGTCACGCAGGCCAGGCACTTTTCACCAATCCCGTCCGAGAGGGGAATGTGTGGCTGGAGTCGCCACCGCACCCTGCTCTTATAGGACTGCCCGAGCCCAGAAAGTCCTCCGCTGGAGTCAAACTGTGGTGGAGTGTCAGTTTCTCTCACTCACCTCGCCACCAGTCAGTGTACGCCTCCTTGTCCGTCCTGTTTTCGACTCCGTTCGCAGACCCCCATTCCCAGAGCTTCTGCGCGTCTCTCCTTGCCGAGCCGCTGTGGAGGCAGCCAGCCGCCGAGCGGCAGGAAATCCAAACCGCGGTTTCCAATGGTGCGGGGTCCAGCCTCCACACCGAGACTTTTCTGTTCCTATTTTAGCGCCAGGACTGCATTCCAAGTTGGTTTCTCTCAGCCCAGTTCGTTCCTGAGTCAGCAGAGCATATCTCTACCGGCTCATGTCTCCTTAGTCCGCATCATTCCTGATTTCTGAGTCGAGCCTTTCAGAGAGCCTCCGGTAGTTGCTGTTAACTATCCGCCATGTTCTCCCAGAAGTCCCAATTGGTAGTAGTTTTTCTTGTGGTCAGGACTGAGGCCTGTGGGACATGGGTCTTCTCCAGAGTGACACCCTGTCAGACTGTGCCCAGGAGCCCATGACTGGCATGCAGTGCATGTCCTGTTCCCTGATCATATTGCCTGCTAGCTCCTGTGACTGCACATAGGGCAGGTGGACTTGCTTATCCTCATGAAAACAGTGCACTGAGATGCCCCACCACCCACCCAGTAGTGCTTCTGCATGTGTGTAATACATGTGCCCACATGCACACATACTTCCACCAGGACACATGTACACAAGCACATACACCCATGGACACACACACCTGTACTCAGGGGCTCTTGTGCACACACACACACTTGTGTGCACACATGCCCAAAAGCATGTACTCATGCCCACAGATGCACATATGCACACACATATGCTTACGTCACATATCTATAGACATCCACAGACCTTTGCCCACAGCACAAACATATAAGCCCATGAATGCACTCACACTCACATACACATGTACTCCTGGATTGCAATGCACATTTGTACACACAGGTCACAAGCAGATGTGCATGTACACATGCTTAGGCCTTTGATCCTGGAAGATCTTCCAGAGTTTCAGATTTTCCTGGACTATGCCCTCAAGTTCACGGTGTTTCCAAGTCCTTAGATACAGAGAGAGCAGTGGAGAGTACTCATGTGAGGATGACAATGCTGTGGGCGTCTGTCCAAAGGCTGGTCATGAGAAAGTGCACTAAAAAAGTGTGATTTCCTAACAGTGTTTCCCAACCTAGTGCTCACTGAGTGAGCCCACAGGCATCCTGTGTTCATGGGAAGATAAAACAATGTTACTTTTCTGTACCCAAAATGTCCTAGCCTCAGCATTTTAGATCTCCCTTTGAGGATTTTGTTTTCATTACAAAGAAATGGTTTTTCAAGCAAGCTTCACTCTGTCTCTAATGGAATTACATAGAGGAGGAAACCAGTTCAGTGCAACAGAGAGCTGTCTTTGCACAGGTTGGGTCTGAAGAGCGTGATGAGCTGCCTGGCTCGGGTACCTCTGTCTGTGAAGTCCAGCGTGGCAGCAGAGTCACACACCAGAGCCTCCATGGAAGCCTCACTCTATCTCCTGGTTTAATGTGCATTTCTGGGACAGCTAATGATATTCTATGTTTCTAATTTGTCTTCTTTGATTTTTTTTTCTGTTCAAATCTTTTGCCTTTTTATAATTGAGTTATGTGTCATCTAATTGTTGAGTTTTAAGCTTTCTTTACATACTCTGGATGGTACCCTCGTAGTATCATACTGAAGAAATTTCTCCTCCCCGCCCCCCCGCCGCCCCAATTCCAGGTTGCAGATGGAATCCATTTTTCTCCAAGCAGCTGTGAACTCATGTTCCAGTGTGTGAGCCTCTAAGTTAATTCCTAGTGCTTGTGTGCGCACATGCGTGTGTGCGTGCACATGAGTGCATGTAGTGGGACTGTCAGTCTTGGGCATGTAGCTGCTCTTGTCAGAATGTGACGTGCTGCTTCAGTGCCTGGCTGAATAATTTACATTTCCTCCTTGGACCTTAGCCATAAACATGCAAGAATAGAATGCATCCGATTGCAAGCGAAGTAGGTGTGTCTGCCCTGGAGTAATCTCTCAGTGTCTTGAACAGTGCCCTGGATGCAGGGTGTCATTGTGGTATCCTGAGCCAGCATTTCCTGACCCCAACCTGGGTAGGACCAAAACAATAGGGAAGTTTGTGTAGTGGCAGAGTCTGCTGGCTTGCTATCTCTTAATCAGAGCCTCAGTTTATTTTAGGTGCCCGTCTGTGGGCTGCTGCAGCTGTGGGGTGACTCACATTGGGCTGCTGAGCTGGGGAGCAGCAGGATTATCTCAGCAGCAGAGTCTACTTCCCTGGGGTCAGGTGGGATTTCACACTGGGTCTCTGCAAAGACAGGAACATGATGAACCTGGAAGGCTTTTTCCTATTGCTGTCCTTGGGACCATCGCCACTATGCCAACACCAGGCACCAGCAGCCCAGGGTCTGTGCCAGACTTGGACATCTGTCATAGAGATCATTTTGTGAATGGCTAAGGTCCACATCAAGCTCTGATTTCCTGAGCTTAGGCTAGGCCAAGCACAGAAGTCATCCTGGGCCCTTGAAAAGAACATGGGCCGTTCTACCAGGTCTCAGTGATCTGTGCCCTCCTGAGCCATTTCCTGTCTAACCAGGGCAATGCAGGCAAGTGGCCTCAGATCGCAGGTGTGTGCTGGGACAGTACGTGTTACAAACCCTCAGTGATGACCTTCACAGGCAGTCTGTGGTGTAATTTCTAATGATGTTGTATTTTGTTTATTTGTCCAGCCCTTTTTATGGAGAAGACTTTTACTGTGAAATTCCTCGGAGTTTTCGTCACCTGTCATTTTACATTTTTGATAGAGATGTTTTCCGGAGGGATTCCATCATAGGTAGGTACTTAAATGAGTCTTTCTTCATTTTTCTTGTTTCTTCTGAACAAGATCTCATCCTGGGAGAAGTGGGGCATCCCTGAGCACTCGTGTGACTTAGGAGGGGAATTCTGACGTTCTGTCCCTGATTTGGTTGGAAGCCATCCTGGCTGACTTTGCATGGAGCTGCATTTCTCCCAATGGTAGTGGCCTGGGCGCTTTCTGGCCCAGCCTGGACTGGTGTCTGTGGGCTTCTGTTGTCTTCCTGAGTCCTGTGACTACCTGTCAACATGCAGAAGACTGTGACACCAAGATCTCATTTCAGACTCCAGCCCATGCTGGGTAGGGGCTTCCAGGTGGCACTTCAAGGCCAGGGGTAGCATTCCTCAGCTGTTCCCAACTGTTCCCTCCCCTCTGGGGAGGACTATTGAGTGAATGTCATGGTCCCCTCCTTTTCACCTCTATTTCTTCTCAGCCCTGACTACCCCCCAAGCCCTCAACAGTGGAGATATGGGAAGGGCTGTTGAAAGGGTTCAAGATCCCACAGCCCTCACCAAGTCCAGCTAAGCCCTTTGGGTCTCGGAGCCACAGTTTCTTGCTGGCTTCAAGGAGTCAGCAGTCCTGCCACTCTGCCAGATGTTGTGTGAGGAGCTGTTGTAGCCTAGAGCACATGCCAGCCTGGGGCCTCCTGGTCTCATCCTGTGCCTCAGGGTCACTGTGTGTATGTTGCAGTCAGACAGTCCCTGAGGACCTCGGGTTGCACCATCTCAGTTTGCCTGGAGCTCAGGTCCTGATGTCCAGTTGCTCGTGGACTCAGTGTGACACAGACACCCTTCACTTCTTATTGTGTTCCCCTGATGATGCACTGGGCATAGTGTGGAGCACAAAGAATGATGGAGCTGGTTTGTTTTCCAAGGTCTGGAAGCAGGCCCCACTGTGTACAGCCCACGGTGGGAGTCAGAAGGCTGTCCTCTCAACTCAGTTCCACACTCTGCTTAGGGCAGCTGTGAACAGGTGCTGCCCGAGAGTAGCCATTTCCAGGAAAGCCAGTGAGGGTCTTAGGTCTTCATTCTTAGCAATGCAGTTTGAAAATGGAAAACTTGCTGGGTGAGGTGGTGCATGGCTGAAATCTCAGCACTTGTAAAGCTGAGATATAAGAATCACCATGAGCTCGAGGGCAACCTGGAATACAAGGTTCAAGGTCAGCCTAAACTACATCACAAGACTTGTCTCAAAAAAACAACATCAAAAAGGAGACTATTTGTTTTTTGTCTTTTTCCTTTTTACCGGTACCGGGGATCAAACTCACGACTGCCTGCTTGCAAGGCAGACACTTATGCCGCTGAGCTAAATCCCTAGCCCCCAAAAAGGAAACTATTTGGACCAGCAAAATACATCAGGGTCCCTTGTAGAGGATGGTCTGCAGGGCACCCACTCTGTCCTGTGGGATCTGGCGCCACCTCTTCATGGTGCTCTGTTAGGGGGCCACCCACCATCCCCTGTGCTCAGTGGGCTGAGTCTTATACACCTGTCCTTGTCCGCATGTGCACGGGGCTATGTGCCTGTGGGTCAGGTGGCCCCAGGCAGAGGACCATCCTCCCTTCCTTCTGGTGCCCAGAGTCTAAGCCAGCTGCAGCTTCTCTCACCAAAAGATAGGAAAACCCCAGCTTGTCAGGCTGGTAGCCTCTGAGCTACTCTGCAGCATCACCTGGGGAAGAAGGCAAGGCTCGAATGTTCCTTAGCCTCACAAGTGTGGGAAAGCGCAGCTGGCTGATGGCCACTATGCCAGGGAAAAGCAGGCCTGGCTTCCGACATCTGTGTCAGGCCCAGGCAGGGAGTTTCTTGTAGTGACAGAAGTCAAGTATGCAAACCTGTCAGGGTGTCCACTCGCTGTTGGTCTCCTGCCACCCCAGCTGCTGGAGAGTGCAACCAGAACCGGCATCTCTTGTGGTGACTTTGCCATGGTGGTCTTTGAAGGCCTGGAGCCTGGACCTTGCACTGCAGTTTGCTCAGTCTCAAGCCCAGACCATGAGCTCCATCATGGCTTGGGGTTTCTGCCACACAGTTTCCTGGCACGTGGGACAGCAGGTAACCCACAAGGTGGAGCAAGGCGCTGCCTGGCCAGTGTTGGCCCTGCCTCACTGCCCAATGTGCATGGCTGCCCTGGGCTGGGCTGTCCAGCAGACACTGGTGGGATGCAGATGTCACTGGCTGGTGCCCAGACCCCAGCTTTCCACAGCCAGGTGCTCTCTCTGAGGACATGAGGTGCTCTCAGGCTCCAAGGTATCCCTGAGTCACTAGGATGGTGTTGGAATTCCCCAGGCATCCCTGACACTCCATCCCAAGTGACATCCTTCAACCAGCACTATGAGGACTGACATTCACTCTGGGTCATGCCATGTGCCTCTGCATCCGGTGGGAAGTGCAGGGGACAAGGCTGGGTGCAAGTGGTGTTACATCATGCCTGCATGTGTGTTCAGCAGCATTTTGGAAGCAGAAAGTGAAGAGTTCTAGGAGAAGCTGCTGAGGAAGTGGGTGAAAGCTGAGGTGAAGAAAGAAGGCTGCTGAACCCCACAGAGACAGGTCAAGTGTGCCCCAAAATGGGAAGTCTTTAAAAATAAAGCTCTATCCTGCATCACCAGCATGTGGATTCACAATGCTGCATGTAACAGACATGCCAGTTCCCAGGATTGGGTGCCCCTTTGTATCAAGCTCAGCCTGGTAGAGAAGGGGAAAGTAAAAGAAACTGCCTCGTGGCCTTTTTCTGGAGGTGGCCCAATGTCCAGGTGATCTGTGTTTGTGGAGCCTGGGTCGGATCTTATCTGAGAATTGCAGTCCTGGGCTACCTATCCTCCAGCTGCCGCCTCAGCACCCAGCTCAGCAGCCTGAGTAGCAGGTGCTCCAGTCTGTTGTGGGTTCTGTCACAAAATACCTGAGGCTGGAACTGTGTAGTAGAGAGGTTGGTTGGTGTGGCTCACATCTGACAAGGGCCTGGCTGCATCTCAATGTGGCAAGTAGGAGATGGCCACGTGGAGAACAGAAGAGCATGAGAGGTGGTCCTGCACTGCCCCGACCCTTGGGAGCTCAGCTCATGAGAACGAGAAGCAAGACTGTTCTTGGGATTTCAAACTTCAAAAATGACCCATCTTCCAACTGCATGTCTCAAAGAGCCTGAAGATGTTGCTATCCTTTTTCACAGGGATAGGTCACACAGCTCAGTCTTAAGAAACTTTAACTGTATCCCTGTGAGACTTGAAAATCAAAAGCCATATCCCACTGGAGGCAAAAGTTGGAGTTTCGCAAGAGCCCACAGCAGCTCTCAGAGGAGGCAGAGCATGAGGGAGAGCACCTCCTCAGAAGGCTGCACAGTGGCTGGGGCATGCAACTGGCACTGAAGAAATCAAGGCACATTGCCCGGGAGCAGTGTAGTGAAGGGAGGAAAGAGACTTAGACCAGCCCTGAGCTCCTGGCTTCTATGTGGAAGGAACTCTCTGGCTGTGACAGGTTGTTCGTGCAGGTATCCCCTGCCTGGGACAGATTGTTTTTCTAGGTGTCTCCTGACTGTGGTGTGATGAGCCATCCTTCCAGATGTTCCCTGACTGGGACAGGTTGTCCTGCTGGGTGTTCCCTGACTGGGGCAGATCATTCTTCCAGGTGTCCCCTGACTATGAAGGGCCATCCTTCCAGGTGTCCCTTGACTGAATAGGTTGTCCTGCCAGGTGTCATCTGGTTGAAGGTGAGATTCACATTTGTGGCAGAAAGGCAGACTGCCCCAGCTGCACCTCATAGCCACTGTCACTGTGAGTAATCCAAAGCTGACAGAAGCCATCAAGGCCCCTGTCCTCCATGCACACATGCTCTGTGTGTGTGTGTACATGCCTGTGTCTATATTTGCACACATGTTCCACCATGTAGTTTATGTCAACAAATATTCCTACTGAAGCCTTACACACCTGCAAAGTAGGTTCTGCTTCTGGCTGTGTCTGGAGAGGAGGACACAGAGGCAGGCAGGTGCTGTGATCACCATCCCCTCCCTTGTACCGGCAGGCCAGTCCTGACTGAAAATGAGGCTCTGTCCATCCTCAGTGCCTGGTGCACTGCTGAGATATCAGATGGGGCAGGAAGGCAGTGTACAGGCAGACGATGCCTCTGTGTCAGCAGGTTCTTAGAGACCACAGAGCAAGGATGGAGATGGCCCCAAAGTGCAGGGTGCTACCTGCAGTGAACTTGCAGGGTGGGCTGTGGCCTTGCCTGGTGTCCCTGCGGGTCCAGCAGCCACCAGATGCCTGTCCCCATTGGCTGACTGTCCTCTGAGTCTGCTTTGCATGTGTTTTCAGGGAAGGTGGCCATCCGGAAGGAGGACCTGCAGAAGTACCACAACAGGGATACCTGGTTCCAGCTGCAGCATGTGGATGCCGACTCCGAAGTGCAGGTGAGGTGGGGCGGGCTGAGCCCAGAGGAGGACAGAACCTAGACTTCAGGCCTCAAAGGCAGAATGGCTGACAAATGTGTATTTGCTGAATTGTGCTGAGATTCTAATGAAGCCACCTTAGTTTTTTCTTTCTTTGGTTATTGCCACTCTTTTTAGGCAGAAGACATAACTTCAAACACAAATAAAGGAACAGGATAGAAATTCAGTGAAGGTGAAGGCTGGGTGACAGGCAGCTGTGTGTGGGGAGTAGTAGAGCAGGGCTTAAGCCTAAGGACCCCTGTCCCTAGGTTCCCATCCTCCACTGGGCTCTGCCTGCCTTCCCAGCAGTGATAGTGCAGGAAAGGTGTGAGACTGGGTACCAGGACACTGCAGGAGTACACATGTCAACCCTCAGGCTGCCTATGAGGGAGTACATTGTGTCACACATGAGGTCCATACTGTCCCTACCTTTGTGGGCCATCCTGAGCCCTGGCCCAGCATAGGGAGAAGCTATAGAAGCCTCACCCAGCTGAGTGGCCAGCCACACGCAGACATTCACACTGCAAGTGCCTCCCTGTCAACACAGTGTGTGGCAGGAGCTGTCCCCAGCTTCTATCTGGTGCCCAGGCTGCCTGGCCTGGCCATCCCCTGTGAACCATCTCCTTGGCACATTCCTTGTAGGCCGGGCCATGTGTGTGCAGCTGAAGGACACATTGGGCATAACTTTATACCTGGTAGATAGTATCATGGACAGAGCCCCTAACTAGGTACCTATGAGGACTTGCCTGAGCTGCCAGTGAAAGCAGTTCTTTGCTCCATGTCCCCATGTGGCCTGCCGGCCTCTATCCTCAAGACCCTCTTGCTCAGCTGGCTTCTCAAGGTGAAAGCCAGGACTCATGGTCACTGTTGAGATCTTAGGCTGCTGAAACCCCATGGCCCTAGGTTCTGTCCTTGGAGTTGGCAGAGCCCATCCACGACATGGAGAGGCCCAGGCAGTATCAAGGACTGAGCTGGGCTGGGCCTGGGTGCCTACCTCTCATTGGACACATGGAATCATGCTTCCACATGAGTGTTACCGCCCAGGAAAACATGGGCCCATAGTCTGCATGCTGCAGATGACAGGACACTGTAATGAATGGAGAACCTACTGTACCCTGGTAGGAGTACAGAGCCTAAGATGACACCAGTACCCAGCAGCCATCCTGCCCACACTTGGCTGGGACTGAGAAACTCAGAGTTCAGTGAAGCCAGGCTGCAGAGTACAGCGTCTTCTTCTCAGGCTCCTCCACACCTGCAGCCCTGGCACCAGGATGAGACCTGTGCTGTGCACAGTTGCAGACATCACCAGGACCACTTCTTGGTGGTGTTTCCCAGATTTGCTTGGCTTTAATAGCAAGTATGGCTTTCCTATTTTTTTGCCTGTTTAATCTTGAAATGGTTATAAATCCATGGAATGTTAGGTGGAATTGTAACCAGCAAGTTTGTGTGTTTTCTGAAGACCAGATGCCAGATGGTCCATCCCCAGGGCTCCACCTCAGTGACTATGTGAGCTCACAGTCCATAGACTTTGTTCTGATCTCACCACCTTTGCATGTGTGTGTGTGTTAATTTTTTTCCATTTTTTTTTTATTGTGATGAAACACATTGTCAAATCCAATTTTAACCATTTCTAAGTCTGGTTCTGCAGCATGAGCACATTCACATGTCTGTGTATCTGTCATCATTGTCCCTCTCCATTCTTGGCCATCTTCCTCCACTGGAGCTTGGTGCTCTATGGCCTGGGTCAGTAATATTAATGCATAGATGGGCCAGTTTTCATATTTTCTCACAACAAATCATGTCCACTGTCTGGCTAAATACTTCATCCTGTATGTAGATTTCTGTTATTGCTAAATCATGATTTGGAACCATTGCATGACCACAGAGCTATAAATTGGACACACATGAGAGCTTTGTGGCTGGCAAGATGTTTTCTTAACAGTGTGGAAGGCAGCTCCAGCCATCTGCTGAGTCTGTGATGAAAATTGGGACCCAGTTCTGCTGGGCCCCTGGGAGCCTGGGTGGTGTGAGGTGAAGGACTTTTGGGAGAGCCCTGTACTGTGCTTAGCACTTCTCTGGCATTTCTTTCTGGAAGTTTCTCACCTACAAAGTACCTGGGACAGAAAGGCAGCTTCTGTTCCCTCTCAGTCTGACCTTTCAGTGGCAGTCACATCTTTGTTTTGCAGCTGCCTCTTGTTTTAGAATGTCACTTTCACGGTTTTCTGCTGGGCAGAGAGCAAATGTGGCTCCCTGCATCCGTCTGCTGTGTATGGCACAAGAAGGAGACCCATATCCAAAGCTGTCACACTCTGGCTAGCATCACAGGAAGGGGGAGAAGCACATTAGATGGGCTACTTCTTGGAACTGGTGTCTTTTCTAAAGGTCCCCAGAGTGCTCCTCATCTCTGCCTCCAGGATGCTCCATGTTTGTAAACTGACCTGGGACTCAAATGCATCAGCAGCCTCCACTGTTGAGGTGATGGGCCCAAGAGTCAGCCATAGGGTATAAATTTGGGGGATTTTCCCTTTTGTTAATCCGACAACCCAGGACACTGGCAGGTGTCCCCAGTCCAAGACCTGTCTTCAGGCAGCGCTGAGGGCTTAGGGATGCAGAAGACCAGGCTGTGTTCCACTTTTCTGGCCTTTGTCTTGCCCTTTGCTCCTTCTTCTCACTTTAAGAGCCAGTGGCCACTCAGGTGGAGACAGGTCATAGTGTGACATTGATTGTCCCAGGCCCCCACATGAACACCACAGCAGCCTGGGGCCAGACTGGGATTGTTTCTGCCTCTTGGGATGGCTCTTGTATGGGGAAGACCTTCCTGAGAGAAGTGAGTGGGGACCTCTGAGGGCTTTTTGTAAGCTAACAAACTTTGGTTTCTGAGCAGGTTTTTTTGTTTGCTTGTTTTTGTTTTTGTTTTGTTTTGGAATTGAACTCAAGACCTTGAGCTTGCCAGGCAGGCGCTTGTGCTGCTGAGATAGATCCCTGGCCCCATGAGCATTTTTAAGTTTATAGGAAAACTGAGCAGACCAGAGGCCTTGTCCCAGCCCTGCCCAGCACTGGGCAGCTGTCACCAAGGCCCTCAGTCCTCATTGGCACCTGTGAACAGTGCTCAGGCCGGTAGTGCCCTCTCATTGCTGATCACAGGAAGCCATTCTTTGCTTTTGTTCCTGGGTGCCCTGCCTTGAGGCTTATCTCTGTGTTGATCTGTTCAGAGAATCTGATTTTGCTCTTAATGATTCTCTGATTTCCTGTTTTCAGTTTCACTGATTTCTGACCTAAGTTTTATTTGTTTTCTTTTACTTTTTGTGAATTTAACCTCCTCTTTCTAGTGGAAGTCATTGATCAGGAACTTTTTTTCCTTTCTGTGTATTTGGCTACGTTCTGAATTTCCCTCTCAAACATGGCTTTGCTGCATCCCACAAATTCTAAGTTATATTCTCATTTTCCTTTGTTTCACACTATACACTTAGATAGACAAAACACTATACACTAAGATAGACAAGTGTCTATCTTAATTACTTTTGTTGCTGCTAAGACAAAATATCCAAGACCCACAAGTTAAGGGTGGAATATTTGGCTCATTTGTGGAGGTTTCCATCCACAATCAGCTGGCTCCAAGGTAAGGTGGGATGGTGAGAAGCATCACAGTAGAGAACTCTTCATGGTGGTAACAAAGCAAGAAGAACATAGCAAAGCAAGAGTGGAAGACATACTTCTTTCTGTCCTTATATTGTATCCAGGCTACCAGGGTTAGGGTGATATTAAACCAATCATGGGCTGATTTAGTAATCACCCACTCTTCATCCCAACACCCTTAATCCAAGTATTGCACCAAGAATCAATCACATGCTCTGGAATCAGCCACCTCTGAACAAGACCCCCTGTGACTGCTTTGAGGGGACATCCAGACACGGCCTCCACAGTATCTGTGGAGGCTTCTTGACCCATGTGATGTTTAGAAGTGCATTCCTTAATCTCCAGGTGTTTGAGAGCTCTCAGCTGACTTTCTGTTCTGATCCCTACTTTGGTTCCTCATGGTCTGAGGGAGGACACGGAGGCTCCTTCCACCCGTTTGGCAGGGAAAGTGCAGCCCTGTGAGCTCTAGCAGAAAAGCAAAGAAAGCCCTGCTTTCTGTGGATGAAGTGATCAGGCAACACTGTTGGCCCTGCTTGTTTCATGATGCTGTTCACTTCCTGTTGCTTCTTCAACTTTCTTTTTCTAGAGCTAGGGTGGAGCCCAGAGCCTTGCAGGTGAGCACTCACCACAGAGCTGTGGCCCAGCCCATGTTAAGTGCTTAGTATCTTTAGCCCTTGATAAACTAGGAAGGAAAAGCTGCCAAGAGCACTTTCCTCTGCAGGCCCACTGCCCTCCTCATAACCAAAATTTTAGCCGGGACACTGGGCAGGCTTCGCAAGCAGAGGTGAACATGAATAAGCAGGCTAGATGCTCCTGCCCCAGCCAAACCCCAGAAGAGACCATGCCAGTCTTCTTCTCTGGAGGGTGGTGCCTGTCCCCGCTGTGAAGCCACATGCACAAGTGTGCACCAGGATGCAGTATTTTCTGCCGACCTGAAACCAAGGGCGTGACCCCGAGGGCAGCCATGTTTCTCTTCTGGGTTGTTTGTGTCAAGGTCAGGTCACCTGCCTGTGAGAGACAGTGCCCAACTTCCACCTCATACAGGAAGGGGATGCTGGATACTGAAGTGCTGGCCCACGGGTGTGCAGGGCCCACTAGGCCATGGTCAGCGTGGTACAGCATGGCTGTTTAGTCCCTGAGCCTCTATCCCACAGTGTGTGCCACCGGGTAAGAAAGGCACAGGAACCCAGTGGCTGCTTGGGGAAAACAGGAAATGGAAGGGAAGCTGCCGTTGCGCTGTTGGCAGTGGAGCCTTTCCACCTCCCCCAACACACACACAGTCTCTGACTTTCTAAAGGCCCCTGGACAAAACCTAGCTCTCAAGGCTCTTCTCCCTGACACCCTTGCAGACTGCAGAATTGCCAAAGGTTGGCGCCCCTGCTCAGTGCCATTCTCTGACACCAAACTGCTCACTTGGTCCTGTGCATGGCCTGGTTTGGTCCTCAAAGGCTCTTGGCCTGAGGAAGTGGTACCACTTCCTAGGGCAGCAAATATTACAGTCATGATCCCAATCTCTGAGCTCCTGGACTCTGGTAAAGAAAGGGAGCCACAGATGCCTGTCCTTGTACCTGTCACCAATTCAGCCCCAGAGCTGGAAGGGGCTGTGTCCAATTTCCTGACTCTACTCTATCATTGGTCCTTGAGGCTCTGTAGATCGAGAACCTGGGCCCAGGAAGCCTAGAGCAGAACAACAGCAGGAAAGTTCTGTCCCCAGGCAGTAGTGAACTTACTACTGTTCTGTGTTCATGGTTCATGCCCAGGGACATAGAGGGACATCACTGGGCATCAGGGTGCTTGCCAGGTGGTACTGGAGGTTCCAGCAGGATCTATAAGAGCCAAGTGGGCTGCAGCAACCAAGTGTCCACAGAGCAGAGTCCAGCAGTCTGCATAGTTCAGAATGTCTCAGGCCCAGTCATCCCCTGTGTGGCCGCCATTCACGGGCGGGGCAAGTGCTGTGTCCTGTCACAGGATGCTCGCTGACTAATGCTCATGTCCCAGCACTGGGCACTCTGTGTCCATTGCACCTGTCCTTGACCAGGGGAGAAGACCCAGAAGGGCAGGTCTGGCCTTGCCTGAGCCTAGGAGAGGTGAGATCCTTATCACCTCTGTCACCATGGCCAAGCACCCACCTCTTCCCAGCAGGTCCTTCTGGCTGTGCCCCTCTCTGAACCTCCCCTGTCCTTTGCAGGGCAAGGTGCACCTGGAGCTGAGGCTGAGCGAGGTCATCACCGACACAGGTGCTGTCTGCCACAAGCTCGCTGCACGGTAAGATGTGCACTGCAGGCAGCAGGGCTGGGCCAAGGTTCTGGAGCTGCTTCTCCTGTTCCACAGGTCCTGGTTTCCTCTTTGGGTGCCTAGGGGAGCAGGCACGACACCCTTGCACTTGCCGCCCCAGGTCTCACTGGCCTCTTCCCTGCACAGTGAGCCCAGGTTGGGACAATGGGACATGGCTCTGGTAGGAGAGCACCTGGGGCATCTTTCCTGCCAGGAGTACAGGCACGAGTCCTAGTGATGGGGTCATTTGCAGTCTGTTCTTGTTGCTGTAAGAAAATACTCCAGCCAGGGGATATGCAGAAAGCAGCTGGTTTGTCTCGTGATTCTGGTGAGGACCTCGTGCTTATCCCATTGAGGCTGAGGCCTCCCCTCATGCGACAGTAGTGGGAGATGAGGTCCCCTATGCTCATAAGGCCATCAGGGCATCTGGCCCACCTCATGACTTCAGGTACCTTGTCATCTCTTGGGCCTTCTGTGACACCAAAACTTGGCTTTGGGGATAGTGTCTGAACCAGGAGCTAATGGGCACACATTGATCCTCAGGGGGATCATCCTGCCACCTTCAGCAAACAGAGATGGGGCTTCTCCCTCCCAGAAACATCGTCGAAGCAGGGCATGTACTACAGTGTGATTGGATGCATGTAGAGCTGAGTTCATGGTTGGAGTTTCACAGTCTACTCCCCTGGGATGGGTGGGGGTGAGCAAGGTCCTCCGTTTCCACAATGGCCTGCAATGCTCCATGGTCCTGTGGTGAGACCACGCATTATGGTACTAGGTGCTGCTGGGCCTGCTGGGGCTATGGAGTGTGCTGAAGCAGGGTCAAGTGAGGATCTGCCCTGGGGCACTGTGGGCACATATGAGGTTCTTGGTTGGGCGTAGTTCCTTGCTGTATCTTAGGAGCTGTGAGATACGTGTATTTATAAGCCATGTTCAAAGCCTTCAAGGCTGGACTTGTGGGGCCCAAATCAGGGATGTGGACAGAGGTGGCTTTCATAGGCACAAGTGTGGATGTGACCTGGCCAAGCTGTGGTCTTCTCCAAGAGCTGAAATATGGTGCTGTGCCATGAGTGGAGGTCAAGGCAGAGAAGGGGCCAGGCCACCACTACTTCCCTTTAATCCACAACTCCTGGGGCCTCTTCAAGCAACCAGCCCACTGGGAACTTGGACAGAGGTTGTGAGTTGCCTGCCTGTGGCCCTACATCATGGGTTGCTTCACCTGGGCTTGCCCTGCAGCAGCTGCCACACTGAGACACCTGCTGCCCGGCAGCCCTCAGGAGCCCTGCACAGGCAGAATGTTCTCCAAGTGAGCCTGTTCCCTGCCCTGGGGTGGCTGAGGCGAGAGGCTTCTTGAAGTCTAGACTGCACTCCAACCAGTGAGGAAACGGGGAAGCCCAACAGTGGCCTAGACAAATGGCAGTCATGGACCCCCAGATGCCTGAGCCATTTGCCACTCCCAGGTTTTGTTTGCTCAGCACAAAGGAAGGGAAAGAGCAGTGAACTCGGGCCAGAAGTCAAGGGACTTCTTCCAAGCCTCAGTTTCTCCACATGAAAAACAAGAATGAAAGCTGCGCTCTGTGGACCCCAGCTCTGGCTGGGAGCACCCACCTGCAGGGTGTCTGTGTGACTGTTGTCTGAGCATCACAGTTGTGTGAACTTGTTTCCTTGGACAACAGGAGAACAGCCAGGAAAGTATGGCTGTGTGTGGAGCAATGGGCACAGGCAGGGCTGTCCCTGTGCCCACCTGGGTCTGCCATGTGCTGTGGACTCTTGTGTCCAAGAAGAAGGCTCCTAGCCAGGCACATACGGAGGAAGCCCCAAAACATCACAGGCATACAGAGTCTGGCCTGGCTCAGGGAGGTGCACCAGACATGGAGCCCCAGAGCTCATCAGACTCTGCAACCTCTCTCAAGGCCCTGGTGGTTTTGCTAGTCCTGCTGCAGTTATGGGCAGGGCATGCTCCCTGCACCACCAGCCATGGGGCTTCTAACATCAAGGACATGAGTTCTGCCCCAAGGCTTACAGGACAGCATCTCCACTGCCATACTTACAGCCACCTCCCTGAAGGGCTCAGTTTAGCAGAGGCATTGAGGGGTAGCTGGAAGGCTCTGGAACCCACTGTGCAGGAGACAGCCCTGATCCTGGACACCACCTCTGGTGGACCTGGGGTCCCTTGCCTCCTGTGATTAGATAGCACTTTGTGGACAGCCGTGAGAAGGCTGAACCCCACAGCCTGGGTCCCAGTTCCTGTGGGGAAGGAGCTAGTCAGTCCCAGCCTGCCATGGATGTGTGTGTTTATATGCATATGTATGTGGGGGATGGGGGGTAGATATTAAGATGCAGCCATTGTCCTGCTGGGTCCTACAGGGACTGTGTCCCCATGTCAGCTGCTCTAGGCTTCCATTCCCACCACACAGGCAAACACACTCCTCCTCTGTGCTGGGAAGGCTCTGCCTTGGGTTGGGGGCTGCACTGGGCATCCCTATACCCTCCTGAGTTCTCAGGCCAGGCACGTGCCTCCTGTGGTTCTGGGTAGGTCACCTGTCTCGCCTGGTGCCAGCCCTCTGTGCTGTGTACCTGTCTGCTGTGTGTGACATCTAGGTGTGTGCATGGATTTCCTCTGACCACAGACAAACCACCAGGATAGTTGTGTGAGCTATTTATGACACGGGATGCTGAGGTTGGGGTGTGATACCTCTGAGAAGGATAAGCTTAGTACCTGCTACCTCTGAGTAGGGCTTGGGGCTCAGATCTGACTTATGGAGGTCAACAGGGTCCCGGCCCTCACAGGGACTGGTGCCCTTCAAATCTCCCCCAGTCCGAGCAGGTCTTTTGCTGTACACGGTACTGGGGATAGGCAGCAGGATGCACAGCACTGCATGAGGGCCACGCCATCCTTAGAGCAGCAAGAACATTTTGGAAGGAGCTAGAAACAGAAGTGATGTGATCGGCTGGGTGGGAAGAACCTAAACAGTCCCAGTGCTGTGCCCAGAGCCCAGCAGAAAACTGGATCCTCTGCATAAAATTCACAATGTCTGGCTCCTGCTCAACCCCAGGAAGCAGGAAATACGACTCATGACTGGGGAGGAATGGAAACAGACCAGGAGGCACAGAGATGGCAATGAAGTGCTGGTGGGAATGTTCCAGAGCTTCAGGATCGCTGGGAGCTGTCCCCATCTGTCCCCTCCTGCCAATGGAGCTCAGTGACTAAAGGAGGGGCCAGGGTTTCTGCTGCCGAGCTTGGGTAGCTGGGGGGCCAGGCAAGCAAGGTGGTGGCTGCCACGGGCTGTGTGTCCTCAATGACAGTTGGTTCTTGGCAACAGAGACCCCTGCCAGCCTCTCCCCGGAACACCAGGTCTTCTCATTCCTGGTCCACAGACCTGCAGGGAGGGAGCCGGGTTTGCCTGCCCTTTCCGGACTCTCCTCTGTTTCCTCAGCATCCTCGAGTGCCAAGGCCTCCCCATAGTGAACGGCCAGTGCGATCCCTACGCCACGGTGACGCTGGCTGGACCCTTCAGGCAAGTTGTCCCAATCCTGCCTGTGCCATGCTGCCCTGGTCCTAGGCTCAGGGAGCCTGAGGAGTCAGGTGGCTGGTGCCCCCTGCGGGAGAACAAAGGAGGTGCATGTTTGGGAGGTGCATGTTTTTGACTCCTTTTGGTTTCCTTGATTGCTCTGACATTACTTTGAGGAGAATAAGGCCTCTGTGATCTCTATAGTGCATATTTCTGGCTCCATAAAGGTTCCTGATTTGCATACCATCTGGAGGTGGAGGCAAACAGAAATGTTTGTGAGATAAATAAAGGCTGTAATGTTTGACAGCTCAATTTTAAGGCAGGTTCAGAATCAACAGTGTTATTTTTAAGCCTAACCCTTCCTCTTTTGACTACAGATCAGAAGCCAAAAAGACGAAAGTAAAGAAGAAGACCAACAACCCCCAGTTTGACGAAGTGTTTTACTTCGAGGTTGGTGCTCTAGTGGGGAAACTGGGAAGCGTGCTGAAGACCAAGCAGGAACGGGCCAATGGTCCTTGTGTCCTTCTGGAGAGAGGTCCAGGCCTACAGGCCATCTGGAGGCATTCACCTGGAGATGCCTCTCCCTGGAGAGAAGGTGCTGCTGCTCCCAGGCTGCCAGGATGCAGCAGCTGACGGTAGCAAGTTCGTGCCAACACCCAGGTCTTCAGGGCTCTGGGCTCAGTGGTTGTGAGTTTTCATGTTTTTGGCTACTCCACCCCAGCTTCCTTGGACAGCGCAAGGCTCACTCCACCGGAAATACGAGGATTTACAGCAAAGAGGAAGTGGTTCAGCCCGGAGACTCCCTGGCTGCCTCCAGGACACGCAGCAGAGTTAGGCAGCTGCTTGAGGGCTGGCACCTGTTGAGGCAGAGTTGGTGTGGGTCTGGGTGAGGGTGTTCTTCCTGGCCTCAGTTCTCCAAATGCTTCTTATGCGCTATGGTCTGGCAGGCAGGGGACCAGGCCTCAGTTTCAACTCAACTTGCACTTTCATGGAGTGCAGGACTGCAGCAGGGTGGTAGACACAGCCTTAGGGATGAGAGCCACCACTGTCCCGGGAGGCTGTGGGTCTCCCCTCTCAGTAACTTAGCAACCCCCAGAAACGTCCGGAAACCTCACTGCAGTGGCAGTAAGGCTCCCAGAAGGCCAGGCCCCAGACTGTGGCTGAGCCCAGTGGTCCTGCTCCTCCTGAGCTGTGGCCTAGGCATGCTGCTGCTGAGGCTTCCATGCCTGGGACCCTTATTGAGTCCTGCCCCAGGGAAGGCAAACCTCATGCAAGGGGCAGCCAGAGAGCAATGGAAGTCATTCCCAGGCCACTCTCTGCCAGGATAGGCTAGAAGGGTGTCCAAGTAAAGCCACGTGAAGCTCTGTAGGGGTCACTTTCACCCCTTGCAGGCAGCTGGGAGAGGGCAGGCAGGTAGGAGTTGTGCTGGGCCAGGCCATAGCAGGCAGGCGATGAGTGCATGAGTTGGGCCAGCAGTGTGTGGTCTTGCTCATGGGGGCAGGCTATGACAGGAGGTCAGGGGATCCTGGGGGCCGTGGCATTTCAGAGACACCTGCAGACTGAGGAGGATCTGGTTTCTAGGAGTGGCACAGTGGGGACGAGGCAGGCAGGGCTGGGTGTTACGCTGGCCAGTCCCAGATGAAGAGAAGGTCAGAGTCAGAGGAGTCCAGCCAGAGTAGCATTCGGGGTACAGGAGTGTGCAGACTGCTGGTCACCACTAATCTGACACTCAGAATTACAGCTCAGAGCTTAAGCAGCATAAGTAGCTTTGTCTGTGTACAATTTGGAGCTGAAATCTTCTGACCCTGGAAATGGGGCCGGGAGTGGCACAGCACTCCCTTTGAACTCCAGAACTGGCTAGCCCTTTTACATTTTAAGAAACTCACAACCCCTAAAATATTAGGGGGGAAAACAGTGTTTGATCTTTCAGTTTTCTGATGCCTCCCTGGGTTGGACTCCCTGAGGGGTTCTTGAGGTTTAGGGCTGTGGGGTGTGGAGCTGGTGTCCAGGGCTCTTGGACCTTGCTGTGGGTGAAAATGAACACGAAGAAGCTGCCAGAGCCCTCAGGGTTGCAGACCACAAGTGGCTTCCTCTATGTTCCCCGCAGAGGAGTCAGCCTCTGCTATGGTTTCATATCATCTCGTTGGGCCCAGCAAAGCTCCAGGGTCAACACTCAGGCCCCCCTCCCAGACTTTTCTGTCCATCTGCCCCCAGGTGACCAGGCCCTGCAGCTACAGCAAAAAGTCTCACTTTGACTTTGAGGAGGAAGATGTGGATAAACTTGAAATCAGGTAAGAAGTCAAAGTCCCTGTTTCTTACTGGGCAGTTTTTGTCTGTCCTTTGTTTGGGGCCTGGTGAGTGCAAGGTTTCTTCCTATAGTGGCTCCAAGTGCCATGTCTGCAGGGACCTGTGCAAGATGCATCCCAGAGACCTCAGCCCTGCGACCCTTCAGCACAGGCAAACCCCTCCACCCACCCAGATTCCTGCCACACAATCCTGCAGCCCCAAGTCTCAGGGAAATGGGGCATTCTCAAGGAAAGAGTGTCAGGACCTCTCCTGCTGTGTCAGAAAGCTTCACAAGTGCCCTCACAAGTGCCAAAGAGCCCTGCTATGGTCTGTGGCTCTTGGTGGCCCCACCCAGGCTCCTGCTCATGGCTCCTTCAGGTTTTACTCAGTCTGCAGAGGCAGAAGTTTTCAGTTCTGGTAGGGGTTTGCCAGCATGGCTCTTCTGGATGAAGAAAGGTTCCCATCCCCTCCAGACCAGGCACTGTCCTGTGCCAGCCTTTCCATGCACAAGATGCTTGCCCACTGTGCTGAGCAGATAGAAGCTGCCTGGTGGTGCTGAGACAAAGCTCAGGCTTACTGTGAGACTCTGGACCCTCACCTATCTGAGGCCATGGCCCACTGTGGGTGAAGGCAGATGCCAGAGCAGTGGCAGCAGTCTATCTCTGTCACTGGCAGTGATGGCCCATGGTTGCCTGAGGTGCCAGCCAGGGCTGCATCCTGTGCCTGCTCCCTGTCCATCCTTCTGCACAGGATTCCAAGTGTCTGACCCAGTGCAGCTGTGGGCATTGTGGAGATCACTGCAGCCAACATCAGATGGGCAGCTGGGCTCCAAGCCCTCCTGGATCTGCTTGTTTTCAGAGTTGACCTTTGGAATGCCAGCAACCTGAAGTTTGGCGATGAGTTCCTAGGGGAGCTGAGGATCCCACTGAAGGTACTTCGGCAGTCCAGCTGCTACGAGGCCTGGTAGGCACTACGGGGGCAGGGGGCAGGATGGGTGGTAGCACGGGCAGGAAGGCTGGAAGGCTGGAAGGAAGGGTGTTGTGCCACCGTAGGCCCTGTTGTCAGTTAATTGGGCTTGGATAGTTTCTGACTTTTCAGCGGAGAGGGAGAGGTGAGGGGTGACACCAGGCACTCTGAAGCACAAGTCATACGAAGCCTCAGGTAGGGGACAGAGCAGGCTTAGCCTAAGGACAGCTATCCCTAAATCTTTTTTTTTTTTTTTTTTTTTTTTTGTCTTTTTCGTTTTTATTGGTACCAGGGATCAAACTCACGACTGCCTGCTTACAAGGCAGGTGCTTATGCTGCTGAGCTAAATCCCCAGCCCCTAGCTATTCCTAACTCTTGTCACAGGATGTGTGGCCATTGCAGCCTCATGACCTCTGACCAGCTGTGGTATTAGCCTTGGTATCCTTCCAAGTGCCTCCGCTTGGCTCTCCACTGCCTGGTGTCTTTATCTCTGCTGACCTCCAGAGGTTGGGCATGGGTGCATACCTCTGGTTCATGTTGGTCTACATGTTTTCTCAAGACACAGGCACACACCAGCAGGCCCAGTTGATAGTGCTGAGGGTGACTCTTCCCCTGGAAGCTGCTTTCTCATGCTATAATGGAAGGCCGTGCAGGGTGCTATCTACACCCTACCTCCCACTCCTGCTGCACAGACCCAGTCCCTCAGTCACAGCTGTCCTTAGGCTAAGCCTGCTCTATACCCTGCCTGAGGCTTAGTATGACTTTGTGCTTCAGAGTGCCTGGTGTCACTTCTCACCTCTCCCTCCCTGCTGAAAAGTCAGAAACTATCCAAGCCCAAGGCAGCCACTGAAACCCACCACAAACTGCTTTGGACTTGAGAAATGATCTCAAGATGCCCAGCCCAGAAAATGGGGTGGGGAGGGATGTGCAGCCTGGACAAGCAGAAGGAGTCTTGCTGAGGACTGCAGACGATTCCTGTGCCAGCATGGGCCAGCCCAACCCTGCTATGGAGGCCACCTGGCATGCTCTCATAGTGGTTCCTGTGTTCCTGTGTTCCTGTCCAGTGTCCAGCCTCATAAGCAGATGCTACAGTGGGCCTGCTGGACACTGCCTTCTTTCCTCCTAGCAGGCTCCCCCATCTCCTCTTATCTCTGCTTATCTGCCATCTGGACTACCCCATAGCTTTCAAGTCTGGCTGTGTGCCCGCCCCAGGCAGCTACATCCTCGGATGGCCACACCATCACATGGCCTATAAGGAGCCCTGGACCCAAAGCTCTTGAGCCCCCAAGACCTGGAGAGAGTACCCTGAAGAGACAGTCGTGGCCTCACCATGGTTGTCCTCCTCAGGTACTTTCTCCAGCCCCGAGACAACGGCAAGAACCCAAAGCCTGATGACCTGGGCTCCCTGCGACTGAATGTGGTTTACACAGAAGACCACGTGTTTTCTTCCAATTACTACAGCCCCCTGCGAGACCTGCTCCTGAAGTCCGCAGATGTGGAGGTGCGTGTAGGAATCGTGCTCACCCTGCTGGGCTCTGTTCCAGATTCCAACTCTCTCCTCTCTGGATCTCTGCCCTGCTCACCAAGCAGTCTGCCTGCCCACCCACCAGCTCCTGACCAGGCCCCACCACTCCCATGGCCCTAGCCCTGCCCAGCCACAGCTCTGCCCACTCACCTGGCCTCTGTCCGGGCCTCAGCTACTCAGTGGTCCCATGCCCTTGCCAGGTCCATCAATTCCCCTGCTAACTCACCTGGCATTGGCCCAGGCCCGCCCATCTGCATCCCCTCAGCTGCTGGGCTGCCTCCCCCTGGTTGGTAACACTGGTGATGTTCCCCTGCCTTTCCTGGCTTTTCTTCCCTTGGCTGGGCAGGGGCACCCAGGGCCCTCCCCTCCCCCACCTACATTCAACTGTCACTCAGATTTGTGGTTATGTGACTGGCCATAACCCAGGTCAAGTCTACCCGGGAGGCCCAACACTGCTGGGTTGGGAATGGCAGAAGCCCCTCTGTCCTGCAGCCTTGTAGCACCCGCGTGTGTGGGCCCATTGACAGGGTGAAGGGGCCTGGGCTGTGCAGTGGGGGCCACCTACCCTGACCCCACCCTCTCCCTGCCCAGCCAGTCTCGGCGTCGGCTGCCCACATCTTGGGTGAGGTATGCAGAGAGAAGCAGGAGGCAGCCGTGCCCCTGGTACGGCTGCTGCTGCACTATGGACGTGTGGTGCCCTTCATCAGCGCCATCGCCAGCGCCGAGGTGAAGAGGACCCAGTGAGTGCCCCAGCCTGACCCCAGTCCTGCCGAGCCCCATTTCTGTCCACTTCTCTCCAGCCTGCATTTGGGCTGCCTGGACCCTGGAGGTCCCGACCCCAAAACCTCCTGGGTTTGGGGAATCAAAGACCCAAGATGAAGTGCTGCGATCCCAGGACACTAAGCTGCTGTTTGCCCTGTGTGCAGACAGTGACCCAGAGGCCAGTAGCAAGTGGATGTCAAGTCTGCTTTCCTGTCTGGCCTTGCAACTTCCTGGGCATTGGTACAGGGCAGCCCCCTTCACAGGAGACAGTGGCTGCTCTGGGCTGACCCAGGGCTCAGTATGCAGCCTGCTAGGACCTGTCAGCACTGGGAGCCATGACCAGTTGCTCAGGGACACACTCTCCCCTCATGAGTGTGGAGGAGACAGCCACCATGCCAGACTGTTTTCTAGGGACCCTAATACCATCTTCCGAGGGAACTCACTGGCTTCTAAGTGCATTGATGAGACAATGAAGCTGGCGGGCATGCACTACCTGCAGGTCACCCTGAAGCCCACCATCGAGGAGGTAAGCACCACCATGTGTCTCAGCCACTGGTGTGTCCATGAGAGACAGGGAAGGTGGCACAGTTGCCCCACCATCCAGGGCCCTCGTGTGCTTGGCTATCGTGGAAAGAAAATACCATGTGTGTTCTGCCTTACCACCTCAAATTAAAAAGTAAGAAAATTTATCATGCTAGTAAAGAAGAGAGGATATTCTTTCACTTCTGCCTCACATGTGGATCCTTGCATGCCCATGTGCAGTGACTGTCCTATCCAGGACCCTGGCCATCTGCTGCATCCTTACCATGCCGCTCCTTCCCAAAGACGTTGCAGCCGTCACCTGGCCTTCACTGGCACCATGTCAGAAGAGTTTTGTGAAAAGCAGGCTCTTTGCAGATTCTGGTTTGATCTGTAGAAAACATTTGAAATATATTGTAAAAGCTGGCTGGGCATAGAGACCAAAGCAGGAGAGCTGGACCAGGCTGAGCAACTAGCCAGACTGTGACTCAATAAAAATAAATTAACAAAAAATGTAACTCAGTGAGAATGTTGGCCAGTCCTTACGGCTTTGCTAAGCTTGGCCATACCAGACCAGGCTGGTCAGACTCAGAAAACCCTGCTGCTATGAGGAGAGCCATGCCTTCCCAGGCCAATGTCCAGGTTTCCCAGCTCCACTCCATCCTGCAGCCTGTGACATGGGGAGCAGTGGCAGGGCCATGGTGCACCTCACACAAACCTTACCCACCCTTCTAGATATGTCAGAGTCACCGGCCCTGTGAGATTGACCCTGTGAAGTTGAAAGATGGTGAGAACCTAGAGAACAACATGGTAAGGTGCCTGTTCTGCTCTGACTTGGGCTACATGAGTGTCAGATCCTAGTGGTGGGGACAGTTGCATGGGGACTCTCCTGGCCTAGCCCTCCCACTACTGCTCCACACAAGGGCTGCAATTAGTTGTGAGTCCTGTTCCCACCTCAGAGCAAGTGGCGTTCAGGGGCTGTACCATTTTCAAGGCCAATTCGTCCCGTGGTATTACTTGTATGTCTTAACTACATTCTGCAGGGCAGGTATGCTGCTCATACCTTTTGGCAGAAGTACAGACCTCTGCCTTGGGAGCTATCCTAGGACATTTCAGTCCATGCTCAGTGATGTCGAAAAGGAGAAGAGGAATATAGGGTTCCATGGGTGCTGGTAGTGGTGTACACTGTGGGTGCCCCTTAAAGGGAGGGCATCCTTCACTGTCATGAGGTCCATCTTTGTGAGTGTCTGTGCTGGGCCTGGCCCTCTTGGCAGGCCTTGGTACCCCTCACCCCAGGGAGGTCAGGTCCCAATGCCTGTCCCATCTCAGGAGAACCTTCGGCAGTATGTGGACCGCATCTTCACCGTCATCACTAAATCTGGTGTCAGCTGCCCCACTGTCATGTGCGACATTTTCTTTTCTCTGCGGGAGGCAGCTGCCAAGCGTTTCCAGGGTAAGCACCCTCATGCCCAGTGACCCTGTCCCTTCCCAGGCCACCCCAACAGGTGCCCACAGCACCCCTATCCCAGGAGTGGATGCCTCCGACAGTGCCCTACTACATATCCCCAGCAGTGATCTCTGGGCCACTGAACTCCCTTCTGACCTCCCCAAGAAGAGGAGATGCTTGGGACTGCCCCTCACTCTGCCTGGAGCCCTGAGCACTGGGAAAGGAGAACACCTAGAATTCCCTTTCAGGGGAGCAAATGATCCCCCATGTGTGTGGAGTTCCTCAAGCCCCAAGTCCCTACCCTGCACAGACCCTGTGAAAACCCCCACCACACATGGACAGATCCATGCAGACATCACGGCACAGAGGGTTTCAGGAAGAAGAGCCCAAGAACAAACTGAGGGAGAATGTACTAAAACTTCCCTCTCACCCCAGATGAGAGCAAACCACCCAATAGGAAGGCCAGCCTGTGACCCCTCTCCCCATTGTCCCATATGGCACCCATGGTGACTGCAGTAAGAGAGACAAAGACACAGATACAGAGACAGACAGACAGACAGCTAGATGGAGAGACAGACAGATAGAGACAGAGACAGATGGAGGCAGACAGAGCCAGGGTTTAGCTTCTGCATGAGGCCTGGGTAAAGTCGCTGAGCCCTTGGCTGCTGTCCGTGTCTCTGGTGCAAGTACTGTCCTCCGCTCTCAGATGACCCGGATGTCAGGTACACGGCTGTGAGCAGCTTCATCTTCCTGCGGTTCTTCGCACCCGCCATCCTGTCTCCCAACCTCTTCCAGCTGACACCACATCACACAGTAAGCAATGTGCCCTGTGCCCACTGATCCTACTCCAGCCAGCCTTGTGCACCGGCTGGTGCTATACCAGCTGACCCTGTGAACCAACTGCTAGCTGGCCCCATAAACTCGGCAGCCAGTCCTTGTAAGCTAATCAGTCTTCCTAAACCAGTTGATAAACTTGTGAAGCCTGTGAACTAGTCAGTCCTCCTTAACCTGCCAGGGCTATAAATCAGTGAGTTCTTACTAGTTAGCCCTCCTAAACCTGCAAGCATGCTGGCCCTAGCCATGTCTCTACAGAGCAAGTGGCAGGTGGAGAAAAGTGGGTATAAAAACTCTGGCCATCACAAGCCTCCAGAGTGTGAGTTAGCAGCCTTTCAGCCTGACAACCATGTGTGACTGGGTGGATTGAGACTATCCTTAAACATTCTACAGTGTGACCAGGGCCTTTGTACCTGGCCACTATTACTGTACCTTCCCTCTCCCCATGAAAATATGGCATGCCTGTGACCTGTGCTTACTCTTGCGTCCATCCCTGGAGTCTCTGCTGTGTGTCAGGCCCTGCCCAGGGTTGGTCAGCTTCATGGGGCTGATGTTCTGCTAGTGACAGAGGCCACATCACAGACAGAAGTGTGACATGGAGACAAGTGGCAGGGGACAGCTGAAGGGTGAAGGGTCCCAGAAATGGTTCATCTGTGGAGACAGCAGAGAAACATCCACAGGCAGAGTCTGCAGACTTGAGAGAGACATGACCCAAAACAGGGACCTTCTGGTCCAGGCTCAGATGTCTATCTGCTGCATATATGATCTGTGAGAGCTTCTAGATGCCTTGCTCGTTCTGTCCTCCATAGTTGTGGTATCATACATTTTTGTAGCTGGAACCAAGCCCACATTTCCCTTTTGATCTCTGGCAGGATCCACAGACATCCAGAACCCTGACACTCATCTCCAAGACAATTCAGACTCTGGGAAGCTTGTCTAAATCCAAGTCTGTGAGTTTGTGTTCATCATGTTCTCTTTTTTGGATCTCTGATTTTTGTTTATCTCTTCAGAAACTATAAATGCAGTGCCTGTCATAGAAAAGGGAAGGTTACACACATTGGGTGTGGATCTGGGGCTGGGAGGCCCAGATCCACAGCTGGGCCAGTTCATCCTTGGCAGCTAGCAGCTTCATCCTGGTCCAAACTTCTACTTCCTGAGCAGGGAAGGCTGAGCTGCCCTCACCCTTGGGTGGCAACACTACATTTCTCTTTCATTGTCACTGGCCAGACCAGTTGCTGGTACTGGATGGCCAGTGATCCCATGAGGGCCAGCTGGGGCCTTCTGCCCCCATGGCTGGGGCCTATTTTCCCCCAAAACAAATCTGTTATGTACAGTGTTGTCCAGCAAGTGCAGGGGTTTCTCAGGTGAAGCCTGAGGCTGGTTCTGCACCCTGATTGTCCACTGGGTGACCATCTCATTATAGGCCAGTTTCAAAGAGTCATACATGGCGACATTCTATGAGTTCTTCAACGAGCAGAAGTATGCTGATGCTGTGAAGAATGTGAGTATGTGGTGTCGGCAGATGTCACCCCGCACTCCCTGGACCTGGCGCACCTGAGTCCAGGCAAGGCCATGGATCATGAGAACCTTTGTAGTGCTCAGTGTGTGTCACAGGTGTTGGTCCCTCACCAGCTGTTCTGGGGTTTCTTGTCCCAGCATTGGGGGCACTATGTCTGGGAAGAGAGCCTTTTGGGACTTTGGTTCTGCTCCTCTCCTATTCTTTGGATGCAGGGAAACTCTGGGCAGTGACAGGAAAAGGGTTGGCATGAACAAGAGCCTAAAGTTGACAGCAGGTGTACAAGCAAGTCATAGGCAGTAGACAGTAAGGCTGAGAATAGTGGCTCCCGGGTGCTCCTGCATCCTTCTCTGGCTAGCCTGTACCCTTCTGGGGCTCTCCTTGATAGCCCAAGGTAGGCAAGTGGCTCACTGGGTTGGCTCACTGCTGGCAGCCTCTCTACAGGTCCACAGGTGCAAGAGACCTAGGAGGGCTGGGCTGGGCTGGGCTGGGGTGCGCCCATCCCTGCAGACAGACAGATACCCCAGAGTTTTCTGGTATCCTCAGGGGACATGTGTATCCTGCCCCCGACTAACCGAGCAGGCAGCCTTCAGTGCTCGACTCATGGTCTGATTTCCCCCTGACTTTAGTTCTTGGATTTAATCTCATCCTCGGGCAGAAGAGACCCCAGGAGCATAGAGCAGCCCATTCTGCTTAAAGAAGGGTAAGAGGGTGCCACTGGGCAAGAAGGAGGGTGCAGTGTTGGCAGTCCTGGCAGCAGAGTTGCATGTTTCAAAGCTGGGGTGAAGGGCCTCCACCTCAAGCCCCAGGATGCCCTGCCAGACCTGTGCCCTTCTCACAGATTCATGATTAAGAGGGCACAAGGAAGGAAACGATTTGGGATGAAGAATTTTAAGAAGAGGTGGTTTCGCCTGACCAACCATGAATTTACCTACCAGAAGAGCAAAGGTGACCATGAGGGTCCCCCTGAGTTCCCCTTGGGGGCAGGATTCTGCTTCACGGGGAGGCAAGGCAGTGGGGCAGTGTGGCCCCCCGTGCAGAGCACACTGCAGGCTGTGGGCTTCCCTACAGACCCAAGTGCAGACTGTCTGTGGGAGGGAGGTCTTCTCATCACCCACACCATAGTCCTTGAGGGAGCTCCCCTTCATCCTTCTGCTGCTCTTCCATGGGGCTGTGGGGCACACTAACAACCAGGGAAGGAGATCTGCTGAGAGTAAAGTGTCACTTATGTCTCCCAGGGGCTCCATACAGTCCCAAGGGCTGCTCACCTCCATTAGTATGGCCATCTCTCTGCAGAACCTGGCCATGTAGAACCTGGGGCCAGTGGTGGGGACAGGCTGATGGCGTGTTGGGCTGCTTTCCCCAAATCTGAAAGGGCCTTGCTGTGGATAGCTGGGGAGTGGCTTCCCTGAATGCGGTACAGGCCACTTTCCTGAGCTCATCATGGATTGAGGACAGATCTGCCTCCTGCCTCAGACACCAGGGCTGGGTGTGTGACCCTGTACTCTGGGACCCAGGCCTCTTCCCACGAGCTTCCTGGCCTCCCTCATGGTGAGGAGAGGGGCTCAAGTACCTCTGCCCAAGCCTTGGTCTGTCTGCTTGAGAGCTGAGCAGAGCACTGAGGGCCTTCTCTATGCAGGAGACCAGCCCCTCTGCTGCATCCCCATCGAGAACATCCTGGCTGTGGAGAGGCTGGAGGAGGAATCCTTCAGGATGAAAAATGTGAGTGCCACCTACCCACCCCCAAGCACCCACCGCTGGGGTGCTGAAACCCCCAGAAGACTGGGCTGAGTCTTGAGAGAGTTCTCTTGCAAGTTCCTGGGGATCAAGGACCCTCCTGTACCAGCCAGCATTCTGTCACTGTGGTGAAAAACCTGAGGCCATCAGTACATAAGGAAGAAAGAGTTATTTTGCTCCTGGTTCACAGTGGTTCTTTTTTTTTTTTTTTTTTTTTTTTGTCTTTTTCATTTTTATCGGTACCAGGAATTGAACTCACGACTGCCTGCTTGGAAGGCAGGTGCCTATGCCGCTGAGCTAAATCCCCAGCCCCTTCACAGTGGTTCTTAAATGAAGCAGCAGTTTGCAGGGAGCAGGTGCAGTAAAGCTGCTATCTCAAGACAGCAAGGCGACAAAAGGAAGGAAAGGACTGACGTCCCAGTGACCCAACTCCCCCTCTACCCAACCCCCACTCTGCCTACAGGGTCTACATCTCTGTCACCCACGACACAGGCCTGGGGGGAAGTTCTTAGGACCCAACCCCCAAGGCCTTGTGTCCATGTCACAACTCAGGTTGTATTTGGCCTATTTCTAAGGGTCCCCAAAGTTTGAGCATTTCCACATTGCCCAAAAGTTCAAGTCCAAAATCTCTCAGACTCAAGGCAAACCCCTAACTATAAAAATAAAAGAAGAAAGTCACTTGCAAGATAAAACATTCCCTCCAAGGGAAAGAAAAGAAAATAGTTAACAAGGAATCACAGCAAAGCAAGACCAGAACCCGCAGGGCAAACATTCAGCCCTGTAGCCCTGTGTCTAGCAGCCAGGCCATCTGGTGAGATGTGAGCTCCACAGGGCTTGGTGGCCCTGCTGCTGTGTTCTTGCTGGCCACAGCCCATGTGGCCTCTGTCTGAAGCTGGCTCTCTTCACTCACAGCTGCAGCTTTCATCAGTCTGCATTCTGCATTCTGCATTCCTGACACCTTAGTTCCCTGAAGTCTGCATTGAAACTCGGCATCATCCCCAAAGCTTCATCTATCACTCTCAGGGTCCCTTTGGAGGGCTTCTGACCCTGCCACATGTTGCTTGGCTTCCCAAGCTCTCCCTGGAGTTTTGGTGGGGCACCCCATCCACTCACTGCACTTGTGTTCTGCATGCCTGCAAAACCAGCACTCTGTGGACAACACCAACATCTGCCCTCAGTCCAAGCAGTAGCAGGGCCCTCTTGTAACACAGCTGCAGTGAACTCTGGGTGCTTGGGTGACTATTGTGGGGAAGAGAACAGCAATGAAACAGCTGCTTGGAAAACAATTCCTTAGGCAGCCAGCGCTGTCTTCTCAAACAGAAGTCTTAAAGCCTGTAGTAGATGGGGTCTTGCTGACTTCTGAGATGCCATGAAAGCATTTTTCCTGTTGTCCCGTGCCGAGGACCTGGCTTCTTCTCAGTGTGTTAATGGCACTAATCTCTTACATGTGTACCTTCCTTAGCTGGAACTTTACATAGGCTTCCTTTCTGGTGAAACTGCAAGTTTTTCAAATCATTCTTTTCTGCTTTTTGCTCCTAATCCTTACTGTAAATCTGGCTCAAAGCAACCACAATACCCATGCCACTGCCTGAATGTTATGCTGCCTTGAATTAAGCAGTGATGGCAAACCTTAGCGCTTCCAGTGGTAACAAACAGCCCACTGCAGCACATGTACTACAGGTTCACCACCCTGTGTTAGACCAGGAGCTTTAAATCCAGTCTCACAGGGGGGCTTACACCCTGGTCAAAATGTAGACAAGTTCTTTGTCAGAAAATAGCAAGAATGACCTCTAGTCCAACTCCCTACAAAATGTCCCCATCTGGAATCAGGAGCCCAGTCCACTGTCACACTCCTGTCAGCCTGCTGGTCTTGGCTTCAGAACTACCCACTGGGCTCCTTCTGCAGCATCCAAGGGTTCTCTAGTGCTCTTCTCCAACCTTCCCAAACTACTCACAAACCAGTCTCAACAGCTTGTCATCATGTATAGTTACAGCAGCCATATCATCATGTACAGTCACAGCAACTGTCACTGTGACAAAATACCTGAGAAGAGCAGCTTATATGGAGGAAGGGCTCCTTAAAGGGCACCAGAAAACTGGGATTTCTCTTTGAAAGCTTTTTACTTTCATATGATTTTGAACTTAGAGAAAGACACAAAGAATAAAATAGGGACCCTATGCAGTCTTCCCAGCTCCAGTAGTGTGCCACTTCTGGCCAGCTGTCTCCTATGTCTCTGTGAGCAATGTCCAGGCCCTTTTTGAACCAGTGCTGGTGCTGCGTCAGCAGGAGCAATGATGTTCATGCATGGCCATTGCTCAAGGCTCCTGTTATTCCCAAAGTAGAGCCAGGTCATCCCTTTAGTCTAGGACCTTGTCTCATCTTTCCCTGTGACTTGTGGCCTTGGTGTGGGATTTTTTTTCCTAGTCACAGGAGGGTTATTCAGTGGCCATCACTCAGTTTTGCTTCTCAGCAGATAGCCCTGTGAGTGTCCAGTCATTGAGATGACAGCCATGAATATGCATGTGCAGCATACAAGGTGGTATACCTGGGCTCTGAGGACCTGGGAATGTGGTATCACAAATTCCCAAATCTCTTTTCCCTTGGAGAGACCACCAAAGAAATCCTGATTCCCAGCCTCCCCTTCTACCCTGGAGACAACTCTGGGCTCTGGTCTGCCCACTCCCCCAATCCCAAGTGCCTCTCATCTTACCCACACCAGCCAGATCTCTGCATCTACTGTCCCCACTGCCCTGGACCTTAGTGCCCATTGTTTCTTCCTGGAACACTCCCTGCAAAGGCAGTGACACCTTGAGAAACCTCATGAAGAAGTAGCACCTGGTGTGAGGAGGAGGAGGAGTCTAGGAGCCAGTAGGGAGAAGCAGCAGGTTCCCTAAGGCTGGGGTGCAGTGCAGCCAGAAGTGGGAGGCTGAATGAGCTCGGAAGTCTGAGAGATAAGCCCATGTTCCTGATATCAGCCTGCCTGAAGACTACTGGTGCTTGTCTGCAGGTGGAGACAACTCAGGCTACAAGACAAGATGCACCCAACCAGGGTGACCTGGACAGGCCTCCTGAACTCTCCTGTACCCACAGCACCCTCTGTCCAAGGCCACATATGCCCACCCCATCCAGGGCACAGACAGCCCACTACTCTGCCTGGTCCAAAGGAGCAGGCATTCCCCTAATTCCACCCGCCTCTTTTGGTGCTTGAAGGCCAGCATGGTGGCTTTAAGCCCCATCCATTGTTGATATCTCCTTGGAGGTGATGATGCAGCCCAGCCTGAGGACCTGGTGGCCCTGAGCCCCTTCCTGTCTGCAGATGTTCCAGGTCATCCAGCCGGAGCGCGCACTGTACATCCAGGCCAACAACTGTGTAGAGGCCAGGGACTGGATTGATGTCCTCACCAAGGTCAGCCAGCGCAACCAGCAGCGTCTGTCTGTCTACCACCCATCCGCCTACCTGAATGGCCACTGGCTGTGCTGCAGAGCCTCCTCGGACACAGCCGCTGGCTGTTCCCCCTGCACCGGGTAGGCCTGCGCCTCCTGAACCCACCCATCGTGGGTACTATGCAGGGAAGCCAGCCAGGCCCTTTGGAAGCCAAGCAGGGAGGTCCTTGTTCCCTCTGAGGACTCCCCCCTGGAGAGCTGGGGTTGGCTCCTGCCCAATGCCCCAGTACGTTAAGGAGATGGACTCTTCCTGAACCTCTTTCACCTGTCAGTGTCCCTGTTCCCTTCCATCCTAAAAAGAGAGGCACCGTGATCCTCCAGCCATGTCAGCTTAGCCTACTGCCAGTCACTGGAGACTCTGTCACCTCTGCCAGACCTGGTAGGGTGGCTTGGGTACCCACACCACCTCTGTGCCCCTGGGGCTGGCAGTGTCCCTCCTGAGGTTCAGTGTGATTTGTGCATGCCAAGCAGGAGCAGTGACAGCTTCGTGTGCCGATGCCTGGAGGGGATGAGCATGTGATTGTCACTGGGGTTCACATTCTGTCACTAAATCTGTCACTGGACCTCCTGTCCAGTTCAAACATGCAGAATCTGACCTTGGGGTGAGTCCCCTCTGTCCCTCTGTACCCTAGAGAGCAGCAGAGGCCCAGGCTTCCAGTGCAAAACAGCTGCCCCCCCCAGTGCCTATTCAAGATTGCTCCACAGAGCTCTTTGTACTTTGTACTGTGGGTCTAAGAGGCCTGGCCCCTTCCTTATATCCCACCCATGGCCAGAGCCACTCTGTAACTGTGGTGTCAGCTGGGCCAGGGCTAGATTTCCATGCAGGTGGTTCCTGCTTCTTTCTTCATTGAGCTTTAAAAAGTGCTGTGATGACAAGCACCACTAGGTAACCATTTTTATTCTTCACTCTTTCTGTGTTGTTAGTGGCCTCCCAGCAAACATTCAGCTGGACATCGATGGAGACCGTGAGACAGAGCGCATCTACTCGCTGTTCAGCTCCTACATGGGCAAGCTGGAGAAGATGCAGGGTGAGTGCAGTGGCCACAGTGATGCGAGTACAATTCTGGGCACACAGGCCCTTTGCAGAGGGCATGCAGAGCCTCCAGCAGCTGCAGGCACTGGCGTAGTATGGTGGGTGGGCCATGCAGTGGCTGGGGAGGTGGTGGTGGCCAGGGCCCTTGGAGCCAGCCCCATGTCCAGGTGGGATATCTTTTTTCCTACCTCTGACAGTGGTACAGGTGATATGCAGGTCTTTCAAAGAGAAGGACTGGGGCATAGGATCCTTGCATGTGCTGGCCATGAGTACACAGCTCCCTAGCGCCTGTTTCTACCTTATGTGAGGGCAGCCTTTCCTGGAGGGGCTACTCTGGGGACTGAGCTATGAGTAGGTTGGACAAAAAGTGGAGACCAGTGATGGTGGCCAGACCCATATCAACCCTGTGCTGTTCCACAGAGGCCTGTGGCAGCAAGTCTGTGTACGATGGCCCCGAGCAGGAGGAATATTCCACATTCCTCATCGATGACCCTCAAGAGACCTACAAGACGCTTAAGCAGGTCATCACCAGTGTGGTGGCCCTAGAGCAGGAGCATGCACAGCACCGCAGAGACAAGTTCAAGAAGACGCGCTATGGGAGCCAGTGAGTATAAGGCAGTGGGACAGGTGCTGCTTGGTCCTACGGCCACACCTCCACAACCTCAGGCTGTGTCCCACCTGCAAGGCCTCACTGTACCTTTGCCAGGTCCCATCTGCCCTCTACCACATCATACGCCACTGAAGTGCTGGGCACAGGAGTGGCTCTGGAATTTCTGTCCTGAGGGTGAAGGGATAGGGTATGTGGCAGGGAGGACTCATCCTGCAGGCTGCTCACCCCAGTCACCAGCTACAGCCTGAGAAGCTGGGGCAGGCAAAGCAGGACAGGGAGTAGGGGAAACTGAGTCACATGACACAGGGGCTGGAGAAGGCCCTGGCCTGCATGAACAGGTCTGTGGCACCATTCCTGTCCAATGGCACCCAGGTTTGGACAGGTGGGTCAGCCCTGGACCCCTGCATCCATGCCCTGTCCCAGGTGTCGGGGTCAGAGATGACACCAGCATTCCCCAGGGCCAGACTGCCCACAGTATTAAGCTTAGCATCTCTGGGGTGCTGGCTCTGCTCCTACTCCTGGACTACCTGCTCTGGCTCCTGACCCTGTCAGTCCTCCAAGTACCCCACAAGGAGCCCACGGCCACAGCAGCAACACCCAGGGCCAGACTGAGCCTCCTAGAGCTCACTGCACTGGCTTGCATGTGTTCTGCCTGTGTTGTACACCCACATAGTGCACACGTACATTGCTTACATGCATGATCTATGCACATCTGTGGAGTGCACATGCACTCTGTGCAGCCTGCATCTGTACACACATCTTTGTGTGTGCACATGCTGCACATGTGCACACTTCACCCACAATTTGCACACACATACACAATAGGTATGCACATGCCACCAAGCATGCCACAAGTCAGAACCACTGGGCTTCCCTTCTATAGAGAACTTGGACTGTTTCTGTTCTTCTCTTTGCTGATCACAATGGACTAGTATCTCGGGTGTGAACCAGTGGCACTGGGACACCAGGTGTCAATGTGGTGGTGCCTCACACTCTTCCCCAATCCCTGCAGGGAGCATCCCATTGGAGACAAGAGCTTCCAGAACTATATCAGGCAGCAGTCGGAGGTCTCCACCCATTCCATGTGAGGCTTGCAATGCTTCTGGATGGCACCAGCGAGCCACAGCAGGACGCACTGACCTCTCTAAGCCAAGAAGAGCAGAGTGGGTAGAATGCACACAGGAGGCTCTCTGGCTCTGGGTACACGTGGGACCAGTGAGCTGGTGGCACCTCAAGGGTATTCATGTCCTCTCTTGAACCAGGAGGCAGCTGCCATGCACCTTACTTGTCCACCAGGGGCAGGTGTTCCTGGCCTTTCTGGAACATGGGCTTGTTTGCCTTATTGCTCACTCTGGGATCCAGGGATCAGCGCGTGACCTGGAAGTATGGACTTTCCCAGTCACACCAGTTCCTGCCTGGAGCCACGGCCAGTCCAGCTGGCATGACCCTTGCCTTGTGCAGAGCTATGCTTCTGTCCCTGACTTTGCCTTGCTGATCTCTGCACCCATGTGGCCCCAGCCTTGAATTCTCATTTTGTCATGTCTGGGGTCTTAACAGCATTATCCTCGCCTCACAAAGCTGCTGTCCCCGCAGTCAGTGGCTGACCTCTCTGCCCAGCTCCTGTTGGTTTTGTTCCTGGCCCAAGCATCTGCTTTGTGCCTGGGACACATAGAATAGCACAAAGGGACCCAACCCCAGGGACCCTGTGGGATTCAGTGGTTGGGGAAGGGAAGTGGTGTGGGTCTACTCCCTTTTGGATACCCTCTCAGCTTCCAGGTCCAGCACACATTGTTTTGCTGTTAGACAGGGTTTAAAGCTAGAGTCCACATGCTTGCCATAGTTTGGGGGAGACTTTTTTGAAGCTGTTTTTCTTAACTCTTTTTAAAGGACCATTTTTAATTGCTCTTTGATGTAAAGTAACTCAGAACACCTAAACCTACATACATGGAAGGGGTTACATCTCACAAACATCAGCTGAGGCCCTCAGAGGGGAACCTGGGGGCAGCAGCTATGTCCTGGCTATGCAGAAGACTCGAGGAGCATCCACCTCATCTCCATGAGCCTTGGGCCCAGCCGGGTGGTGGGTCCTGAGTGGGCAAGACGGGCCTTTCCAACTGGGCCCACACTGCCACTGTCATGTCACAGTGGCACTGCAGGAGGACCTGAAGAGGCCCACCCCGGGCACCACTGCATATCCTCATGCCACCTCCTCTCCATGCTCACCAGAGTTGCTATAGCTCACCCTTAGTCCCGGAGGCACACAAATGTGGTCACTGAATCATGGGGAAAGTATGAAAATAAACTATGGACACACATCCATCATGCTCCCCTGAACTGCAGTTTTTAACTTGGATTTGTAACTTAATGTTTCTGTTTATAAACTACTAATGATTTGTGTTGTATTTTACTGCCAATTAAAGCAGATGTTTTATTCTTTCTGGGATGGTTTGGTTTTCCCAAGTGGCTCTTCGGTAGCCACATGGGGTGCAGGGGCCATGGAGGTGGAGGACACTGTTCTAATGACAGGTGAGTCTGTCTCTGATCACAGGTAGCATCTCTGCAGGGACAGGTGCTGTCACCTGCCCAACAATTGACCTGAGTCTGGCAGACACAGCTATTTGTGGGGCTCTGGGGCCCACAGTCAGCTCAGCAAGAATGGGAACATAGATGTATGTGCAGTGCCAAGCCTAGGGTCATGGCCTTGAGCACAGAGAGAACAGGGCACCCAAGGGCACAGGGTGCTGCTCTCTGCCCTGGGAGCAGAGAGTGAAGGGCTCCAGGTAGATACCATGGCTGGCTGGACACCCAACAGATGGTCCTCACTTCCTTATTCTTCTTTGTCTCCATTTGGCTTTCATTTTTTAGCTCTTTCTTTTTAATTGTGCAGTAAAGTAGCTCTCTCAGAAGAAGACTCTAGGGGTTCAGATGTTTCATGGGGGGATCCTGCATCTAGGACTCTGGCAAAAAGACAGAGGCTCCTGGTCAGCCCTGTACCCACAGGAGGGTGTGGAGGGGCAGAAAGGTGTGCCCTGCGTCTCAGGTCACTTGTCTGCTGGATGAACTCTAGCTAGGGTGGGGAGTACCAGTGCCCCGGCCAATCTGGTCAACCAGAGGTGAGTATCCATGGCAGGGCTAGGCAGGGCTGGGGACTCGTGATAACTTGTGCATGCTAATCAGAGGCAGACTAGCAGGTCAGTAAACAGGAAGGTTGCCTTGAGGGTAGGTGGGAAGGGACAAAGTCCTGGAGGACACAAGGCCGAAAGCCCAAGTCAGGTTGGGCCATGGTTGGATTTTGTGGAGCACCAGTCTGGGCACTCTTCTCCAGATGGCTGTTGGAGAGGTGAGGTGGCCTCCACACACCTCCTAACTTGCTTCTGGGCATCATCTAAGAGTGCAGATTGGAGTGAGAACTGCACCAAGCCCCAGGACACACACCTACAGGTCCCCTGGGGTGGCAGGACAGCCCCAAACCGTCACCATGCCTGCAGAAACATTATTCAAGTCCCAGGTAGCACTGTTGGAAGCTGCTGTGACCCTTTTCTCCCTAAAGTGGGGCTGAGCCCAGGTGCTTGGAGGAAGACCAGGGCAGGAGGACATTAGTTTCACTCCTTACATCCTTTCCTCCCTATGGTGTTCTTTGCCAGTAATCCTTTCTCTGTTCAGCCTGGAAACCTGCTTTCCTTACGAGTTCTTGCATCATATACAACCTACACTGACTCCACCTGCTTCCTCCTATTCCCCTAGCCTAGGTCCATTGAATTCTTAGGCCATAGTCTTGGATGACTGCTGGATAGGGTACCAGGCAGGCTGGGGCATGGGCTGAGTTACGGCCCCCAAATTCAGGCTGAAGTCCCAACATCCAGGCCTCAAGAGTGTGACAGCATTTGGAAACAAGGACTTTTGGCAAGAGACGAAGGTGAAAGGGGTCATGAGACAACCTTAAATCATCACTACAGGGTCCTTTTGTTATGAGAAAATTGAGTCAAAAGTAGCAAGGAGCTCAGAAGGAAATTTTATGAATTCCAGAGGACCGCAGAAGAGTAATCTTCAAAGTCTGATGCACTGATTATAGAGGGTTTTTCTTTTTATAGGGTAGCAAACAGAAGTAACAAAACTAGGTAAGCTTTTAGCTGAAGGTTATGGTCTAATGGGTATCTATCTTGTGGTGAACAGAACTGCGTGTAGTAAAGTTTTTAGCACATTTAGAGAAGTCTTACTTTGATAACAAATCGTGATTTAGCCAAGTTTAGTAGCAGAGAACAGAGTGGCTACAATTAGGTCAGGACTTGTGCTTGGCTTTCAGAGAGTGATCAGGACTTGGCCCCAGGGACACACAGAGAGCACAGTATCCACTGCGCACTCCGGAAGGGCTTTGACAGAGCCAACCCTGCTGTGCCTAGACCTCAGCTTCAGCCTCGAGGGCTGGGCCGCTGGCTGTGGTCCTGCACACTGTTCCCACCCCAGCTCCAGTCTTGCTCTGGAAAGCCCCCTGTTGTGCCAGTTCTGACCCACGCCCACCATCTTGGAACCTCGTAACCCTGCTTCTGGAAGGAAAGAAGAAAACCTGAATTTTCCAGGAAGAGACAAGCAGGAGCACCGGGCCTGGGCTGGACCCCTCATTCCATCCCTTTTCTAGTGGAGAAAACGAAAAGCGCCGAATGAAAAAGGGACAGGCAAGTCACCAACCTGGCCTGCAGGGAAGGCTGTGCTGGCCAGCTAAACTTTGACCTCTGACCGCAATGATGTCACAGCAGGTCCCTGGCAACACTGGGCTGCTTCCCTGGAGAAGAGGGCACAGCCAGGTTGCCAGCTATGGCCTCGGATTGAGGCAGCCCTCTGTTATGATGGAGAAGGACCCTGCCACACACAGGAGGCACCGGCCTGGCCCTGGGGCCCTGCCCTCAGGCACGGCCCCTGGGCTCATCAAATCAGCCAGCGAGGGACCCGAACTCCAGAGGAGCAGGAGTGTAGGTGGCCTGCTGCAGAAGGGGGATCCCCCGAGCCGCCCCAGGAGGCCACGCAGGGAGCTGGGTAGGAGGTGCAGGGGTAGGGAGGGGGTGCTGGGCAGGAAGGAGCAGGGCGGGAGACCACTCGGCTGTCCACGTGCCCTAAGACATACAGGGCACAGGGACACACAGGCTGAGGGCCCCAGAAATTGCTGTTAAAATCCTTGTCAATGACAGTGGGTTACTGGGGTTGAGTTACTGGGGTTGGGAGGACCACGGCCCTGAGAGCTGTTCAGAGGCTTCACAGCCTGGAACCTCAGAAGTGAGCCTCTGAAGACCACAGGCAAGGAGCTCAAGGCCACCACCTCAGGGGCCCGGGGTCAGTGGATTGAGAGGTGGCAGTGAGCTGGGCAGGGGGTGGAGGGTGGTGGGTTGGGGGGGTGGTGGTAGAGCACTCAACATCCCATCCAGGGATGGCATTTGGGGAGGGGCAGTGAATCAAGACGTCCAGCAGGGGGTGCAGTGGCTTCTGCATCTCAGCATTCCCCAGTCATGGTCTATGAAGCTCTTCAGGGTCAGCTACACCCCATACGCTGGCTCCTATTGAAACCCTCAAGCCTGTACCCCTAGAGTCCCTAGGGCAAAGCTCCCTGCTCAGCCGTGGACTAGAGGCTGGAGGAAGCTCTTCCTACCCCTCCTTCCCCACGTGGCTCCTGCCCCAGCCAGGTCCAAGTGCTCTTGACCCTGAGGAAGTGGATCAAAGATGCCCTGTGATGCTCCGTGAGGACTCCTGCTGAGCCTCTGTACTCCCTTCTGTCCTCCCCAGAGAGGAAGCCAGGCTCAGGTCCTTTGCTGACCCCACTCTGCACCAGAGAGCTGTGCTAGGAGGAGGGGATTTGAAACACTGGACCTCAAGTGTTCACTGGGGGCAATGGCTGCCTTCGTGGGCCCCCCAGAGAGGCTTCAGGTCAAAGATGCAGAGTGTGGAACCAGAGTGGGGACTCAGAGCAGGCACCCAGGGTGAAGACATAGGAGAGATGCAGGGCACAGGTGGGAATGGCCTTGTGCTGTGAGTGGAGGGTGGCTGACCCAGGACTCCAGGCCAGGCGTGGAAGTACGGAAATGTCCTGAGTAGAGAGGGCAGTGTTCAGAACATGGGCCTGGAGCTGAGGCAGGAAACTCTTTAGCAGTGAGTTGCAGTGTCAGGAGGCCTTGAGCCTCTTGGGACAGCCACAGAGTGGTGAGCTGTGGGAACACAGGAGTGGCATATGTGGGCATCTGGTGGCACTGACCAGTTCCCTCCTCAATTCTCAGAGTCTGAAGACCAGGGCCATGACCCAAGGAGTGACACAGACGTCGCCAATGGGTAAGCAGCCTTGTCTGCCTCAGTGGGGTACTGAGCGGGCTGCAGAATAGCGGCTCAGGTTTGGGAGAAGACACACCCCCCTCCACGGCATCCCCAGGACTCCAAAAATAGGACCAGGGAACAGTGACCTCCCTACCCATCTATCCAGCAGGCTTGGCCTGAAGTATCAGAGCAGTATTTCAGGGAACATCCTGGCTCCCCTGGTGGGGAGGCACTGTCCTCTCTGGAATCTGCTGTGCCCACAGAGGCTTGTCTTGTGGAGAAGGAATGCAGAACTATGACTAGATGGGAGGGACTCAGAAGGTGGCACCTGGCCACCTGGCCAGGCAGCCCCCTGTATACCTCCTATGGCTGTCAAGGGGCTGAATTCTAAATTGTCCCAGAGTTTTTCTTGGATACCAACACATCACCATCATTCCAAAGTGGGGGTCCAGCTATGACAAGAGGCCCCAGAGTCAGAGACAGGGAGGGTCCCAGGGAGGGTCCCACCCACCACGAAGCCAGGAAAGGGGCAAGTGACTGGTCATAAGGGGATGGTCAGATATGGGGCAGGGTTGAGATGATACCACCACTGCCCTTATGGTGGCACAGCTGGACATGTCCCCCCATGTCTATGAAGTCAGGAGCCACAACCACCCAAGTCCCAAATTGGTAATGGTAGAAAAGCCCCTGTGGGCCCTCATTTCCACATTTCATCTCGCCTGGTCTCCATGTGTGTGATCTCTACGCAGGAAGCCCTGCATCAGCTGATGGGTGGCCGCAACCTTGTGCCATGTCAAGGGGCTCAGCTGTAGCAGCTGTAGCCCTGTCATTGAGCCCAGTGTGTTGTAAGCAGGCTGCTGCCTCCACTGTGGTAGTCAGTATCTCTTGACAAGACCAGTGGTTGGAGCAGCCAGGCAGGCTATTGTGTCTTGGCCTTCTGCCACAGAATGGCCTTGTGGCTATCCACTTCCAGGGCCCAACGTCCAGCATAGGAGCAGCCCAAGAAGGAGAAGAGACATCACCCCAAGCTGTCTCATTGAGACACTGACCCCAGGCCCTTCTTCCCCTGCCCGCAGTCAGGCAGACCAAGAGGAAGACAGGAAGGAGAAGAATCAGGATGCCCAGGGAACCCTGGACCCTAACAGTGAGAAACTGGAGCCAGAGACTGAGAGGAGGGATGCAGAGGCCAGCACCAAAGAGGAGAAGGAAGGTGCAAGCTCATGCTCCAGGGAGGTCAAGGTCAGTCATCCATGTCTGCATGCATGTTTGAATACTGATGTATCCTAGAGACTTACCTTGTTGTCTCTCTTGGGCTTATAGGAGGAGCAGGAGCTGGAGCCTGTGAAGTTGGTCAGCCTTTTGGAAAAAGAGGCAAGAGCTTGGCACTTTGGCAGTGAAAGTTAGCTATGTCGTGCTTGAGTCCCAAGAAGCCACCAGGCACTGTGGGTTTGTGGCTCATGGGTCGTGTCAGTGGCTGGGCCATGCCCTCCTCTCCCTAAGAGTCTGTAGGCCAAGCTCTTTTCTGTCTGATGTGAGGCCTATCCAGCTGCCATTAGCACCATCACTACAGACAAAGGATCCTAAGAGGAGCTGAACCTCCATCTGCCCACTTCCCCTGCTCTGGTGCCATCTTGGGAATTCTCACAGGGTACTCTGTGAAAAGAGGTGGCATCCACTATCCCTCCCAGACCATGCTGGGGAAGGGAGACAAGTGGACACATTGTCACCAGGACTTTGCAGCAGGCAACCCTTGGTGTAGCTCTGGGCCAGCCACAGTGCCTGGATGGAGGCCATGGGCAGCTGCACACAGAGCCATGGGGACCATGGGGGCCCTTGTATGTCCACACCTCCTAGGAATCTGAGAGATGCTCAAGTGAACAGGACTGGGAACAAGACCCTGGGTCTTGGCATTGCCCTGTCACCAGGAGGCATTGGTGCTTAGGAGGCAGCTTTGGGGTCTCAGGGACCTGATAGGGTGAATGTGGAACATACCGTCCTACCAGACTTGGCCCCATGGAGAAACTGCAGTCCACCTGAATCATCCCTCCAACCAGCTTTGCAAGAGTCATTTCCTCCCAAATAGCCAGCATCTGGTAGGCCTGGTGCTGACTACCCAGACCAGATCCCCAAGTCCCAAGGAGTCTGCTTCCTCCGAGCTTACCATCCTTCTTTCCACCCACAGAAAACATCTGCATTTGTGGAGATTGACCTGGGAGATCACACTGAGGAGGTACAGGCAAAATCCTGCAGATGAGAAAGAGAAATCACATGGGGAAAGTGCCTGCACTGCCCAGGCTGGACCAGAAAGGCCTTCTGGAAATATGCCCCGCTTATAGGCTATGTTGGAGGGTGAGACAGAGACAGTGCTGCCAGCTCCAGAGATGCCCCCTGGGTAGAGGATTAGCCTTCTCAGGGGGATGCTGGGAACACTTTCACTTCTTGCTTGCCATTTCTCACTCCCATGCACACCCACACTGGTGTAGGCTCAACTCTTGAGCTTCCCATGAGCCCCTAGGATCCCCTATGGATTCACGCTGGGAGGCTGAATAGCATGGCTTGGGAGCTAGCAGATCTGGCCTTGGGAAATGTGGGGCTTTGCTTCTAGCTGCTCAAAAAAACCCCATGACTCCTATGCTTCCAGACTCTCTTTTGTGAAATGGGGATCACAGTGGTACCACCACCCCAGGGCTCTTTGTAGAGCTCTCAGAATAGAGCCTTGGACCCTGTTTTGGGTTATCTGGGTCTTCCAATACAGTTGCCTGGTCTCCCTCTCTGACTGTTTGCCACAGTGACAGTCATCTTTTTTTGCAAGCTCCTTGAAGTTCTCTGTTGGCAAGTTTAAGCTCCTTTCTTCCAGATTGCACCTTTTATCCTCTTTGTCCTCAGATCACAACACAGGCTGAAAAAAAATCCCCACAAGGCCACTCAGGGGGCCCCCAGGTTCTGAGGACTCCCAGGAGGGCAACCAGCAGCACAGTTGGACCTGACCTGCAGTCCAGGGGTTGTGGAGCCACCTCATGATGCATGTGTATCCAGAGTTCTCAGCTGGGAGTTTCTACCTGGCAGAGTCTGTCTGATGGGAGGGTACCCTGGGCCAAGGTGATCTCTGGGCCAACTCTACACCATCCTGTTGCTTGAACAGTTCTCGCAGGCTGACTCTGTCCCCTGAACCTCCTCTGCCACTCCCACAGGTGATCGCCTGTGCCATGAGAGAGGATATGCAGGCCTACATGGATGCAGGGGACCTGTCAGAAGATGAGTGAGTGGCGTGTGGGTCTACACCAGGGCCCAGATGTATAGGGCATGGGCATTCACAGGCAGGGGTCACAGCTCCCTTCTCCCTGGGCACATGAGGAGACCCAGTGCATACGGAGGCTGCGGGAGCCCAGGAACAGCTGCAGCGCTGTGTATACTGAGGCTTCAGCAGCTGAGGGCTAGGCTGCAGCGCTATGAACTCTCAAGGTCTTGGGGACAGATTCCCCAGAGCTCACCTTACTCCAGAAGCCAGGTGTTGTCTCCCAATTGCAGCAGCAACACAGCCACAAGAGAGAGAAAGGAGGAAGTAGAAGGTGCAGAAGATGAAGACAGGGCCAGGGATGTAGTTCAGTGGCACAAGTGCCTACTTGGCAAGCATGAAGTCATGAGTTTGATCCCCAGGACCAAAAAAAAAACAACCTGAGTGGAGGTGCAGAAACCCTGGTCCTGGTCCTAGGGGCTGGAGACCACATGTAGCTGTGACAGCATGGCAGGTCCCTCTCAGCATGGGTTGAAGCCCGCTAAGACAAGGGGCACATTGGTTCTGAAGACCCAGGCTTGCCAGTGGGCACCATGTGGGCATCTACACCAGGGCCCAGATGCACAGGGCATGGGCATTCACTGTGCAGGCATGCCTTGTGGCTCAGCCACAAGGACATTGGGACCCAATCAGCAAAGATGCCTGTCTCTGGCAGGGACCGCTGATCTATTTTGCCTTATTCCAGACAACATAGAGAAATAAAAGCCAAAAATGGCAATTACTCTGCTCTCACCCCTCAGGTATACTCTGGCATATTTACTAGCAAAAAAAAAAATGTTGTAAAGGAGAAACTTCTCCATCAGTCTGTGTTGCTGACACCTGGCCTTTTGGTAGCTGAGGACATGAAGACCTGCATGTGGCAGGGTGGGGGCATCTTTAGTGACACCAACCCTCAAGAGGACAGGACTGTGCAACGTGGGGCCTTGGCTGTGGCAGTACCTGTTGTGACTCTCTGGGGAGTCCTCACTATCATCCATCCCACTCCTCAACTCTGGAATGGGGGAAGGATTCTGAGAGGAGCTGCAGGAGGCCCTCAGAAGCTCCCTATAGTGTCACCTCCTCAACCTATCCTGGCCTCTGGCCACTCTCCCACCTCTGGGCTCTCCCTGGTCTTTCCCAGATGTGAGAGAGTTATTTTTCTCATTCCACTGGCTGGATTTGACCACAGGGCACTTGGCATGGTGGCTTTGTTTTCTGCCTCCAGGGCTGGACAATCAGATCCACAAGTCTTGTCCTGGGCCACCTTCCCCAGGACTCTACTACCTGCTGGGGACTCACAGCAGGGCTGCCACACAGCCTGACCTGGCCTGGCTGGGCATTGGGGCCAGCTCCTCCTTTTCCCTCTCCACCACCTGCACCATTTTCCTCTGCACTCATCCTTGGGGCAGTGAGACTGGGCATCCACGCACTAGTAGCCTGCTCACTGCCACATGGGTAGCTTTGGCCCTGAGCAGGGTGGGAAACTGGGAGCCTCTGCCACTGCGTTTTTGAGGGACTCCTGTCCTGCACTCCTGGTTTGGGGCCCAGGGCAGGTGTGGCTGTGTCAGCAAATATCTTGTACCTGAAGTACCCTCGAGAGCAGGAGCACAGAACAGCAGCCCTGCAAGAATCTGTGCCCACACCTACTTCTCTGGGACTTGGTGACAGGCCCTTCAGGGCATGTTTAGGATGGAGCCACTGCCATAGGTGCCCATAAGGTCCTGGTGCAGGGCTTCTCACTCATCCACTCTTGGCCTGCAGGATAAAGACCAGCTGGGTGTGCTGCATCCCATACACCACCAGGAGGAAGGCCAAGCGCAGCATGGCGGCCCTGGAGAAGGTATCTTAATCTGGATCCACGGGTGGGCAGGTGTTGGGAACAGGTCAGGCACCTGTCCTACCCAAGACCCTGCGAGGCTCCCAGTTTTCCTCTTCCATCTCACAGGGTTGGCTGAGCTGGAGGGAACAAGGAGTAGACCATTCTGTCACAGCAGAGACCCTAAGTAGCTCCAAGACTGCACAGGACACAGGAGAAAGTCCTGGCTGTGGAATGGTGTATCTTTCCAAGGACACACAGAAAGAGCTAGCAGGATGTGAAAGACAGGGAGGGGCAGGAAGGTAGCTCACCCATTTGCTGATGGTGGTGACTGGCATCACCCCACAAGGACATGGCCAAAGGCCAGGTAAAAGACAGACAGAGGCGCACGCTGTGGGCATTCTTTCAGGACAAGGGCCCTAAGAAAGGCTAGGACTCCCAGCAGCCTCCCAGACCCACCCTTGGCCATGTCCCAGAGCTAGGGTGGCAGCTGGGAATGCAGGTGCTCCTCCTCAGCACTCTCAGTGTCTTGTTTTTGCCAGAGCTCAATGGACACGCAGGTGCAGGTTGACTGCAGTCACTGCTCTGTGCCTACGGAGGCACCCGTGTCCAAACGCCAAGGGGTGTCAGGAAGGTTACTGTGCCCACTGATTGTCAAGTTAACCACATCTCCTCAGTGCAGCTGCATCTCCCAGCCCCAGTGAAGACACAGGAGACTAGGCTTTGAGGAAGTGTCCTCAGAGCTGGGTACAAGGGATCCAGAGAACTAGATGGTCACTCAAAGGCCTCAGCAAAAGCAGAAGATGCCGGAGGTGACCAGTGCTGCTCATGTCCCTGTCTGAGCAGCTGAGTCAGAGCTTGGCTCAGTGTTTGCAACTCAATCTCCTGAGACCACATCCATCCTGTCCATAAAAGATATGCTGCCAGCACCCACTACAGGCACCCTCACACACACTAATACCTGCACAGGTGGTTTTCCAAGAACACACATACACCCTGCCACTAGCACATCTATGTGTGTACACATGTGTATATATGCATACACAGTTGCACACACCAACCTGCACTGCATACATGGGTACCTGTGTGTGCTCATATGTGCACACATGTAGTTCACCTGTATCATGTATGTGTGCATATGCATAGGTATACCCTAACCCTAATATGCTCATGTGCATTCTCAGTCACACACACCAACATGCTGTCATACATGAGTACAGGTGTGGGTTCACATATGTGCACATGCAATTCACATAAAGTATATGTTTTGCACACATGTGTATATCACGTGCTGGTACAAATGTGGAGTGTTTGGGGCCACATACAGGCCACACATGTCCACAGTTAGGCATGTGCACAAATGTGACTCCCACACCTGCACACATGTTCACACCCATACTTATGCAAGTGCACTGGATCACAGACCATATATGGCCACTATCGTGCACATACTCACTTGTGTGCAGCACCTGTGCATGCAGCACAGTGGGAATAGGTGATGAGATCTATTCAGGCCACAGACTAGTGTTTATTGTCTCTACTTGTCCTGTGGGGTCTGTTTCATAGAGTTCAGATGAGGACTTGGGGTCACCTGGCCAGGGAGAGATGGGGCCTCTCAAATATCTGTGTCCACAGAGCTCACCTGGACAGTTTGCTTTGACGTTGGAAGGCACTGACCAGTCTGGCAATCAGGTAGGCCAGTGCCCAGTGGGAATCCCGCCCTGAGACAGCTTCCTGAGCAGGCCCACAGGTAAATGAGGTAGCCCTCCTTGTCCAGCCTATAACATTAAACCAGCCACTGCTTTCCAGCTGCTGCCAACTGAAAATGTGTTTAGAAAAGCTGAAAAGAGCTGGTTTGATCAATGCAGGTTGGAGGCCTCTCTCCTTGTGGCCCTTACACACAGTGCAAGTATTGGTGTGAGTCTCCACCCATGGTCCATCCACTCATCCCTTGTCCCCAGAATGCAGTGGACCTCCTCAGACCTCAAGGAGATCATGCTGGGGCAAGGGTCATGACAACCATGGGTACCAAAGCAGTCTGGGCAATGTTCCAAGCCTTGGTTGTGGCCACTTTCAGGTGACTAGAGACCGAGCTCACTTTTCATTCCAAAGATCAGCCACAGTGGCTGAGCCCTTTCTCCTTCCTACAGAGGCAACCTGGCAGGGAGGCTTGGTACGGCACCCTCTCAGATCCCTGGGTAGTGGCAGCAGCCATTCTTTTGGAAGGGACAAGCCCAGAACTTGGTCCAGGAGTCGTCTTGCCATGGTGTGTGTGGAGGCTCTACAGTAGTCCATCTGTCTGCACAGCAGCGGCTCATTAGAATCTGATGATGCTGGAGCTCAGGCAGGATGCCAGTTGCTGTGCATAAATTAGCTAGGATGAAAGCCTTGGCACAGCTCCAGGGCCACAGCCTGGCAGGGCCCTCTGGGCCAAGGGTGCCAGCTACACCTACCTACCCACTCCCATGATTCTCATGAATTCTTAGAAACTAGGCAGGTGGATGAAGATGGAATTTGCAAAGCTGAGATCACTGCATTTGGGTGTCTCACCTTGATGATGAAATCACAATGATTTCCCTGATATCCTCCATGCCTTCCTTGGAGGCCACATGGCCTTCATCCAGCTTGCTGGGCAGCATATCTTAATTGGTCTACTATTCATAAAAATTAGCGAAGTCACCAGGAAGTAACCCTAATGTCAGTGGCTCCTTGGCAGCACTGGTGAGATGAACTTAGTCAGGATGACCAGTGTGGGAACTGCATGCCCTGGCCCATCAACTCTGCCCATTTTAATCACTCCTCAATCCTGCAAGCTGGTCCCCACATCCTTCCGTCACAGTAGAGGTGAGACTGCCACTTCTCAGGCAGCAAGGCATGCGAGTAGGCAAGGTGGAAGTGCTTAGGGCTTGGCTGAGGACTGTCACTAGTTGCAGTCACACTTTCCCATTTTGTGAACTTCTAGTGTAGCCAGGAAGGCAGGCTGGTCAACAGCGCCCCCAAGCGGCTGTACTCCCCAAACCTCTCTGTTTTCAGTCCTAGGAACCAGCCAAGATCGGAATGCAGCCTGGCCTTCACCTGCCACAGACTTTAACCCTTAGCTATCCCTCAGTAAAGACAGACTGGAAAGTGAATGCACCATGGCTTTGGTTGCGACCAGACTCTCTGATGCCCACAGGCTGCTGCTGAAGGCAGGCTAGCAGCCAACGCAACCATGGTCCATTACACAGACCCCTCTACCTCCAGCCAGCCTGGGTTCGACTCTGACCTGAGAGAATTCCCATGTGACTTCCACCCAGCAGGGAGTAAGGTGGACACAGGGGCTTTGGGAGAACAGGCGCAGCAGGAGGCATTCAGGATGCCCTATAGGCCAAGTGTCGTGTCGTCTCAGAGGTTTCAGGGCCACCAGCCAGACATGTGGCACAGGAAGAGAGGGTCCCTGGCCTCAGGCCCAGAGTCCTGGGAAGAGACAGTGTGGCATGCTGGCTGCCTTGCAGGCCCAGATTGGGGTGACCTCTGGGCCTCCCCTTCCACTATACAAGCCTCAGCTATGGTGGTGTGGGGGTGGGTTCCAACCTCCTCTGGGAAAGATCCTATGAAGGAGGGGAAGTCAGATATCCTGAGGGAGCTGCAAGACGTTGATTCAGACAGGCTGTGGTGTCCACAAGGATGGACAACTCCACATTATGGATGAGAAAATACTGCAGCCCACAGGCATGAAAGCAGGCACCAGGCTCAGAAATGGTGAGCACTGAGGCCATTCCTGTCTCCTGCGCTGGGCTATCTTCATGGCATCTGGACACCTCACTGCCCACTCAGTGGGTAAAGAGCAACCACAGTAAGCCTCAGTCATTCCTCAGAGAAGTCCCAAGGCCCAGGGCTGGATGAGAGCTCCATCTTGGGACCCCTCTTAGCAGGTTCTGTGGTCCCCTTGTCCACCAAATCTGGCCTCATCACCAAGGAGGGCCCTGTCCTATACACAAGGTCCTGCCTCCTGTTCATGGATACTATACCCCAGCCAAGGACCCTGCCCTGACTCATGGACCCTGTCCCATAGCCCTGACCCCATCCAAGGGCCCTCCCCTAACCAGGACCCTAACTCAAGCCAAGGACCTTTCCACAACTCAAGGGCTCTGTCCGATACCCTAAGATCCCGCCCTGATCCAAGGACCCTGTCCCCCATCCCAAGACCCTGCCCTAACGAAGGACTCTGTCCAGCTAAGGATCCTGTCTCCTAGCCAATGACCCTTTTACATTACAAGGACCCTACCCCTTAGCCAATTATTTTGTCCCCCCATCCAAGGACCCAATCTTCTACCCATGAGTCCTGCCCTACACTACCCCCGTTCCCTCTCCTAAGAGCCCCATCCCCCAGTCTACAGGCTCTATCTCCTGTACCCAGGTCAGGGATACCCCTGAGCCCATCTATAAGGCCCCTGAAATGGTGTCTTCTATTCCTGCTACCATCTTTTATTCTTGAGAGTGACAGTCATACATCTCCATCCATAGATCTTCATTTGTGGTCTTAACCTAAACTGAGGCTGCTGAGATTTGGTGAGATTTGTGACCTCCTGGGCAGAATGGATGTGGGGAGCCTCTGTCTGGCCCCCAGGATGTTAATTCACCACCCCAGCCCCACCCCAGGTATAGCTTCAGGCTGAAGACTCATTCCCCTTGCGAACAGGCATAGGGAGGAACACAGGGAGCTCCCAAGGAACAGGTCAGGCCCAGGCAGGCCGGATCTCCCTCAGAATCTTCCTCAGAATCCTCCCCATCTTCCTGGTACTGGGTCCCCTTACAACTGAACAGCAGGGAACCCAGGAGCAGGAAGGCAGATTCCAGGAACAGTGCCAGGACCTGGTGTGTGGGGAGATGCAGGTGGGCCTGTGGCCCTGCCCTGTCGGTGCCCACAGTGTCCGCCTCCTGCTCTAGGCTGAGTATGGCCTGTGTTTGGCAAGGGTTGGTGCAGTGTCCTAAGTAACTAGGAAATGTGATCTTACAGAGCTGGGGTGGGAGGGAGTCTTGTTTCTCAGCCCCAGCTCTGAGTCATGCGTGCTCAAAACCACGTGTGCCCTGGCGGCTCGTGCCATTACCCAGAAATGTGTGTCCTAGGACCAGTGCCCTGTACTCACGTATCCTCTCCAGGACTAACATCATCCACACACTGAGCTGTGACCCTGACAGGCAATGGATGGCGTCTTCCCCAGTTCCCCAGTGCCAGCAGGGAGCCTGGAGCCACCACCTTGCTGTGGGCCTCCAGAGACTAGTCCTTCTGTCTTCTTGGCCAGGTGTAGGATTCTGCAGCCCAGCAGGTGAGCACAGGGACCCCTGCACCCCCTTACATTCCACACAATGATCTAATCCCCATTGGACTACCTAGCCCTGCTCTGCAAACTCAGCCCTGTGTGGGAAATGGCGACCCACGCAGGCATAGTATGAAAAGTGATTTATTAGCATGGGTGCTGCCCAGACAGTGAGGAGCCAGTGTAGCTCAGTGTGCAGTGCTGCTGTGAACTGCAGGCACTCCCAGAAGCCAAAGGAGTGAGGCACTGGGTCTAAGGTACTGGGGGCCTGTTCTTGGGGAGAGGTTGACAGGGAAGACCTCGCCCAGTCCCCACCAAGCTGCTCCACCCACTCAAGTCCTCCAGTCAGAGTCCTGTCTTGCCTGCAGACGCTGAAGAACCCAGACCTCCTATCAGGACAGGCCTTGGGATCTCCTAGTATTTCTCACTTGAATAAAGGCACAGACACATCATGGTGCTGCAGAAACACCATCAGTCAGGAAACCCAGGACCAGGTGCCTAACCTGGCGGCACAGGGTACGGCCCAGTTTCTGTGGGCCTTTGATTCCTCTGCAGTGCTTCACTCTGTTCATGACAAACTTGGGCACCTCAAAGCTGCACAGTGCTCATGGGAGAATCTGTTCTCCCGCAGAGCTTGAGTACCATGAGAGACAACCTGGGTGCTATTCTTCCCACCATAGCATTCAGGCTTGCTGACCAGCTCACATGACTTTGCTCCAGAGTCCGTGGTGACATTCATTGTGATAGGCCCTGTGCAACTCGGCCTGATTCTATGGCTGTGACCTATAAAGTTGTTTTCAGCCAATATCTGGTCCTGCTGGCACTGTGAGGCACATGGCTATTTCCTTCCCTTTCAAATTGGCAGAGCCCACTCAGAGTATTCACCAACGACCCGAGGAAAGGAAAGGGACATCAACACAGTTCCAGTGTGGGATGCTGCCATCCGGCCAGCCTGAAGTGCAGGACACAGTTTACCCCAAACAGCAGTTGCTGTGGGCAACAGGAAGCCAGTAGCTCCCAGCCTGGCTGCTACCGAGAAGTCAGAAGACCACACCATTGTCTTCCACACAGTACTGGGGAGGGGACAGGGGTTCAGGAAGAGCAAGATGGCTCTGCTGGCCAGGCCACCCTGGCTGTGTGCCTCGGACTGCAGCCAGTCTCTCCAGCAGGGGCCAGAGGCCAAACTGTGATGAGTTAAATAGCAACTGCCAAATTCGCTCCTAGGAAAACAATGGGCAGGGCCAAAGCCTCTGGCTCCTGTGTTCCTGAATGTGGCTTTCAGAGCTGTTTTCTCCTTTCTTCTGAGCAGCTGGGACCTTGGGGATAGAGGTATCACAAAGCCATGACATCAGCACACATGACACCAGGGAGACCAGACTCTGATGCAGAGATCAGGAAGGATGGGCCCTTTGCTCCACAGGCAAGGAGAGAAGCCCTGGGGACTCCAATCACATTAGAAGCATAGAAAGGCTGTCCAAAGGGACCCATGAGCAGGGAACAGTGGGAGGACGTATCCCTCCAAAGGAATTACAGGTCTAGGGCTGTGAAAGACAAGGTGGTCCACAGGAGACTCAACCAGGCCCAAGGAAGCAGGATTGGACAGAGACAGCCAGGGCAGCACAGGACAGGGAGGTCTATGGCATGGCCAAATTGGAAGTGGTGGGTCAGTTGTTGTATGTGATAGGTTCAGAGCAAGGCAGGTTATGGCTGAGTGCTGAGGATCTACCAGGGTTGAGAGCCTTGCATACAAGATGGGAACAAGGCACTTTTTCCTGAGCACAGGCATGTGGAGTCCTGATTTCTCCCTGAGGACCATAGGAAGGATAATCATGTGTGGCCTGACATCTATACCAGCCATTCAGAAGGGACATTGGTTTCCACAGGTGACCTCAGGAACCAGAGAAATTATGGAGTGGGAAGTGAGAAATATCCATTACTCTTGTCAAAGGCTGGGCATTTTGTGTACTATGTTTGAATTAAATTATGGCTACAACTCAGAAACATTGACCACACCCAGCATTGAGGAGGAAAAATGGAGCAGGAAAACTGTGTCGGAGTACTGCCTGTGCAGAGCAGGTAACCATGGGGAATAGACAGGCTTCCTTGCCACACTGGAGCATGTTCCTCTGCTGGTTCTTCCCACCATAGCCAAGACCCAGAGGTAGCTGCCGCCCGTCACCAGGTTAGCAGTGAGTGACTTACCACAGATCTGCCCAACAGCTCTGAGACATTCACTGTGTGGATGAGCAGGGTGAGAGACCACCGGTCCACTTCTCTCCAACTCAGAGCCTGCAATGTCTCCAGAGTGATGGAGAAGCCAGTGCTGCCCAGGAGAAGAGACGTGTCACCATGACCACAGCCACGGCTAGTGGCTGTGTCTGTAAGTCAGGGCATGTTGAACTGCACATCTTATACATTTAAAGCTTATTTTGAACATTACTGAGAAAAGCTGAAAAGTAGACCCTCAGAAACACAGGCAGCCATGGACAGTGGAAATGAGGGTGAGCGCTGGCCAGGACCCCTCAATATGGCACCACACTGAGAACCAATGGCCTTGCTACTCCGACTAAGGGTGCAGTCTGCGTCCTGGGAGAGTCTAGATGAGCGCTGACAGGTTAGCGGCTGGCCTCTGACTCACAACAGCCCTGCAGCGGAGCGGCCCCCACCCAAAGCCCAGGCCTGTGGGGAGGCTCTTCCTAGGACCTGGATTCCTGGGCCCCATGCCCCACAGAGAGCAGGGGCTAACTCACCCCCTGTCTCTAACCCGATAGTATGGCAAAACTGCAGAAAGAAGCCGAGCCTGCAAAAACATCCCCTCTGAAACTTTCTTTCCGAGAGCTGCAGTAGGGGCCATACTTCGCAAGAGCAAAGAAGGAGGAGCTGCTGGGGTAGAAGGGAGCCTTGGATGCTTGAAAGTTTGGTCTGCACCAGAGGGAAGGTGCCTAGCCAGTGACAAGGGCCACCAAGACCTGAGCAAGCCCTTTGAAAGGCACAGGATGGAGTTGCATCTTTAGTGACACTACCCCTCTCCCACATAGCTCTCCTGGTCCATCCTACACACTTTGTGTACCATTGGTCCCAAACCCTTTTAGGCTGACCTATGTGCCAGAGGTGAGCCCAGGATCCAGGTGACTCCGAAGCTGTCACCACCCCAGGCCTCTGGAGTGGCACCAGAGTTATCAGGTACAGTGAAGTCAAGGTGGTCCTGCTGGATGTGATGGTTATGTTGTCCCCAAGTGAGGCAAGTAGATGGCGTTGCTGCCAGGAACTCAGGGTTTGGTGACAGAAGAGGCTTTCAGCCTCAGGTCCACATAACAGAGGCCACAGGGCAACCACAATTGCTGTGCTCGCTGGACAGAAGGAGGGCAGCCCTTCCTTGGGCATTAAGGCTGTGTCCCTGGTGACAGCATGCCTAGAACACAGCTCCCCTAGTGCTGGTTAGAGGACAGGAACCCAGGTTGGTAGCAACTCTGACCTCCTCACTGGGTATGGAGGTGGGGAGGCATCAGTCCATGGGTGCTGCAGGTCTTGGCTGGGGTGCAGAACATGGCGCTCTCTGCCCTTGGCCAGACCCAGCCCCCAGAGGAATCAACGTGGGATCACCCTAACAGTGAGTGGCTTCCTGGTAGCTGGCCCTCTCCCATCAGGCCACAAGAAGACATAGTGACTGGAGACCAGATGCTCACCATCTCTGGGTGCTCACTGACACTGCAAGCAGAGCAGGGGGTACAAGGTGGTGAAAACCCTCCTGAGGAAGCCAGCTCACCTAGGGGCTGTGCAGAGGACAGGGCCCCTGTGCAGACAGTGCAGAGGACACGATGCTCCTCTCCATTTGGGCAGATGGGGAAACTGGAGCTAGAAGCCAGCAGAAAACTGCCACCAACAGTGATAAATACCCTAGGGCCTGGCCCTTGGCTGCCTGCAGGACCAGAGGCAGCTGCATCAGGAGCTCTGCCTGCTCCCTCTCTCTCTGCTTCCCTCTCCCTCTCAGGGTTTTTCGGGCAGCACCGTCCCTCCTCTTTCACCCAGGAGCTGGACAGCCTCCAGCCTCAGTGTCCAGGGTCCATGGGCTCTGAGGTGAGCAGGCCAAAGCAGGGCTTCTCCCCTAGCCTGGGCCACAGCCCCAGCATGAGCCAGCGCAGCCCCCATTCCTCTGGCAATACCGTCTGTATCCACAGAAGTGGCCCCGTCTGCTTTGGACCCTGCACACAGGCCATAAAAATAAGATCCCTGGCCTCACGCATCAGGAATGTAGCCTCCTGCTCCATGGTCAGCTCTCGGTCTCCACACCATCAGGGAAAGGACCCCTTGTTCCTAGCTCATCCTGGAATCCACACGAGAAATAGTCATCACTTAAATGGATAAACAAAAATCCAATTTCCCTTTTAAATACTTTGGTTCTTTTTTAGAGTTAACATTTCAAAACATCTGGAGGAACATGGTGTTTTCTCTTCCAAGAACCTCCATGGAGTTTTGTGGGTTACCACAGAGTCTGGGGCACATTTTTTTCCCTAGCAGCCTGGGTCTGGGCTTCATCCCTCAGACGACAGCCCTTCTCTCATGACGTGGATTTCAGGAGACTCTGGGAAGGTGGTGCATGGTGTCAATGGATGTGGGAGGAGAGCAATTTGGGCTACCCAGAGCCCACAGGGCCACCAGAGGCACATCAGGGTCCCTAGGGGTTGGGCCTGGGAACCCAGCAGAATGGGTCAGGATGGAGGCTTCTGAATCGCAATTGCTGATCCTCCTGTCTCTTGAAGCAAGATCACCCCATGTGTGTGCAGTGTGGGCACCCTGCTGCATGGCATCCATGAACAGTAAAGTATGTGGAAAAGGCAGAGCCCTGCATAGAAGATGATGGTGTCCTTCAAAGTACCTCATAGCCTCAGTGAGCCAGAGGATGGACAGGGAAAGCAGGCCAGGGCCCTGATCTAGGAAAGAAGGAGGGTGGAGAAAAAGGAACCGGCAGATGAGTAACTGCAGAGGCTAAACCCTACAGGGTCATGTCCCATCCCAGAGGCCAAGTCTTTGCTGAAGTTCTGACTAGGGACAGTAGCCACACACACACACACCCACATACACGAGGACCAGGCTGCCAGGCCTGCTGTGGGGGTCGGGGCCAGAGCTCCCCACGGCTCCTAGCCTCAGCCCTCTATGCTCTCCATGATATGTGTCCTCCTGCTGAAGGGGCATTGGGGCCAGAGGTGGCACGAAGCACATGCATCCCCGTGGAGTAAGTTGGGTGCTCTTCAGGGTCCTGGAAATGGATGGGAGAGGGAAGGCCTTCCACAACTTGAGAGCACACTTGGGGAAGACACATGAACATTGGGTTCACTGATAGAAACCATGTGAGAAACCACCACTGCCTTGTGAAGACGGGGCTCATAAATGCACAGCTCCTTACAGACTTCCAGAGGGTGAAGTTCACTGAGGCAAGAGCTGCCTTCTGGCAAACAATTTAGCCACGCTTGGTGCAGGCACAGTGCTGAACAACTGCAGCAAAGTCCAGTCTAGCATGCATTCTATTCTCCAGAGAACAGCTCATGCCCTTTGAGTCACGGCTCGTCCACCATCCTGAGTCACGGCAGCCACCAGTCTGTCTCTGTGGGCTTGTCCGTTCTGGATGTTATATACGAGAGGAATCATTGTGTCTGGCTTGCTCCAGGGACCACAGTGTTTCCAAGGTGCATCTATGTGATAACATGGGTCAGCACCCCAGTGCTCTTGCAGGTGAATGAAGTGCCATTGTACCACATGGCCCAGTGTATTCATCTGCAACGGACATTTGGCTGTTCCACCCTTTGGCTGTTACACATAGTGAAGCAATAAACAAATATTTGCATTTGAGTTTCTATGGGCCCTTGTTTCTTTTCCATGTAGCCAGGTGTTTAAGTGCTGGGTCATAAGGAGGTTTTTGAAGCTCTACAAAGCTGCTTTTCTTAGCTGTCACGCCATTTCACCTTCCTGCCAGTGAACCTTGAGGATTACCATTTCCACACATTTTCACCTTTGCACTTAAAAAAATCAGCATCCATCTTCAGGAATGTGAAGTTGAATCTCACTGATTTTCATTTGTGTTTCTCAATGAATAATGATGTTGGGCATCTTCTCATATGCTGTTGGCTATTTTTACAACTCTTTAAAAAAATATCAATTATTTAGGATTTTGATAAGAAACTTGGTAAACTCTACCTGTCAGAGCACAAACAGATCACATGTAGCCCCAGGGCTGAGGAACAGCTTTGATTTTTGGTAATGCTTGAGTGTCCACTACTTTCTGATTGACCTTGGGCTGCTCTGAAATCTGGTATTATCTCTTTCTTGGTCTCAAAGATCTCACCCTTCTGGAGTCTGGGCTTCCAAAGCTGCTGCTTGAAGTAAGCATCAGTGTGGTATTTGGAGATTTTGTGATGCTGATAGCAATTTTTGTGGAGATGGAAATGACAAATTTTTTGTGTCTTTTTTGCAAAGGAATGCGATTAAGGTTAAGAAGCCCAGTCACAAGGACCAAGCCAACTGCTTCACGAAAACCACACTCTAGCCTCTGCGGTGCCCAACGAGGACGATCAAGATGGTCTTGGGAGTGATGTAGCAAGCAGTTTCTTCACCTGCTAACTGAAGAGGTTTTTGTTGTGGTTCAACAGCTTTGAGGGCACATCATTGATAGGATAATATCTAGGCATTTATCAAAGCTTATCAACCCAGGCACCACCATTCGTGTCACCAACTGGTTTTGTAACAGTAGCAAAAACTTCTCCTCCTTTTTCTTCTCAACCTTGAATTTAGCAGCTGTGTACTTTCTCTTGTACAAAGCCTTTCTGGAATGCATAGCAGATCAGGACTATCTACCAATTCCTGTAACCAAGACAGAGTTTTGGCTGCAGTGGGGCTGCACCTTCTTGGGTTTTTAGTCTTCACATTGTTATTTTTACCAGTGCCAGTGGCATCACCCTTGATGGCTTCAGGTTTCTTCTCTTTAGTATCTGGCTTCTCATTTTTTTCACCTGCCATCTTGCAAGATGGGAAAGAGCCATTTGTACAACTTTTGAGTTAGGCTGTCTTCACATATTTTGGACACTTATGTTGGATCCATTCATCAGTGGATTAGTTCACTGAGGAGTTCATAACTGACTCGCTGTTAAGGGGTTGGGCCCCCAAGGGTGTAAACTGGAAGGGTACACAGCTCCTCTTTTCTCTGTCTGCCTTCCGGCCACCACAATATGAGCAACTTTCTTCCTCCAGGTCCTTCCATCACATGGTTTACAGTGCATCTGGCTGACTCAGCCCACTGAAATTAACCTCTTCTCCTCTAAATTGTAGGTGGTAGGTATTTTGTCCCAAGGATGGGAGAGTGACTGATACAGAAAACTGGTGTTAAGTGTAAGATAACTGCTATTATTATACATGACCATGTGCCTCAGAAGTCTTTGGAAATGATTTGTGGGAAGAGTTTGGAAAGTCCTGGAGAAGATGCCTAGTGAAGCCCTAGACTGCTGTAAGTCAAGTTTGATGAGAAATTCTTGTCAGATCTCAGAAGGTCAGAATGCTGATAAGAATGCAGGGTGTAAAGGCCATGCTCAGCAGTTTCAGTGGAAACAACGACTCCATTGGCAACTAGGCTAGAGTTCATGTGTGTTAATTCTTGGCAGAAAATTTGTTTTCATTTTTTCCATGTTCTGAGATTTACTGGAGACTAAAATTAAGGGGAGTCAACTAATTAATATGGTGGAGGAAATTTCAGCCCACTGTTCAGACTAATATGGGTATAACTGGTTGCTTTTAGCCAGTTCTATAATGAAAATCAAGAGCAAACAGAAAATGTGAAAAGTTTACAATTTCAACTGCAAAGTTGAAGCTATGGAGATCATTGTTTCTAAAAAAAAACTAGCATTAAAAAGAAGTCAACTCTAGTGTGACTCAGTTGTGTGATGAGTCTGGGTCATTTGTGCTCACTGTTGGAGTGCAGGGTGGACAGCACATGGGTCTCCCACAGAGGCCTCCAACAAGGCTCTGGTTATAGTGGTTTCAGTCCAGGACTTGCCATGACAACACTAGTTTGCCCCTAAAGCTCAGGGACCCGCCAGCCCATGGTAATAGGAACCACAGCAGACAGGAACCCAGGATGGGGCACAGAGCTCTGCCCCTTCCCCCGTAGACAGCAGCTCTGTGGAGCCCCATCCTGGAACATTAGTAGGAAAATCCTCCTTAGTAAGGGCGGTGGATAGGAGTGGTATCCTGGCTCATCACCAGCCATGGGGTATGCAGAGGGAAAACCTTTCCCAGGTGTATCCCCAGGCATATCCCCCAGGTGTTAAATGCCAGTGTTCCCAGAGGATGGTTGCTGAATCTCACTGGTGCAAGAAGACTTCTGGGCTATGCTCAATTCCTGGGGAAGCTGTCTGGCATCCACAGAAGAGGAACCATGGAAAGTGCTCAACTGAGGACCTGGACTGACTTCACCATGCTGGCCACAGTAGGAATGCAGATGGTGACAGTCTGTGGAGATGAGTACCTGCTGCTGGGCTGCCATCCTTTATGAGGTAAACATAGCATCAGTGCACCCTCAAGACCCCAGAGCTTTTTACTTACAGAAACAAAAGAGCCAACCCCTAATTTCATGATGGATCTTAAGCACCAAACAATGATGGAAGAAAGTGAGAGAAAGTCTCAGTTCAAAGCCTCTTTTTTGTTTTTTGAGACGAGACCTCACTATGCAGCCCAGGCTGGTCTTAGACTCTGGGGCTCAAGCTGTTCCAGCCTCCTAGGAACTTGGGACTGAAGGCACAGTCCTGGCTTCTTCCTGGCTCCTTTAAGCCTCTTTCATAAGAATAAAATATGTAGGAAGAGACAAGGCCCTATGATGTAATCACTACTCAAAACCTACTTCTTAATGCATCACCATAAGTGTTAGGTTCCAATATATGAATTTTGGGAGAAAACAAGCATTCAGACTTAGCAGATAATCTACAATCCTAATTCAAGACTTACTACCAAGCTGTGGTCATGGCAACTGTGTGGTATTGGCCCAGACCAGCTATGTACCAGCACAACAGAACTGAGGGACCATATGGTCTTGAGGAAGGCTCTAGACATACAGCAGAAGCAAGAGCAGTTTCTTCAACAAGCAGTTCTGAGATAAAAGGATTCAGGCCACCTAACTCCATACACAAAATTAACTCAACATGAATGGATGACTTAGATATAAAAAAGAAGAAACTGTAAGACTATGAAAGGAAAACAAGGATAAATATTCACAACATTGGAATGGTTCTCAGATATGACATCAAAAGTTGAAGAGCTGAGAAGAAATTGTATTCTTTGGTCCCAGTAGAATCAAGCCAAGACTCCATAATAGAAAGCCAATGGGAAACATCCAAACACTTGAAAAATAAACACACATATCTGGAATCCATGGGTGACAGACAAAGTCTCAAAAGAAATCAGAGAACACAAGGAGTACCCTGACATGAAGATTCAAAAGTTGTAGCCAAAGCAGTGCTAACAGAAAAACACATAAAACACATAATACTATGGAAGGAGGGTTAGCTAGCTGGCTCATCAGTCAGGGCCAGGGACTAAGACAGAGACAGATGGTTATGAAGAAAAGCTTAGAAATATAAAAAAAAACATTTAAAAAAATGTAAAAAACAAACATGGAAAAAAGATAAAGAGTTAAGATAAAAAACCCTGAGGATTCTGGGAAGATGGCAGAACAGTAAGCAGCAGAGTAAACAGCCTCTCTGAGAGAAACAGCCCAGATGCCAGAATATAGCATCATGGGGAAGACAAGAAGGGAGAAAGTGGGTCCTCCTTGACCCAGGAAGAACCTAAAGTGAGAATTGAAGCCCACACAGAGAATAAAAAAAAGAAAAGAAAAACTTAAACAGAAGGCATAGCTGGAGGCCCTTTCATCGGAGTCGGTCCCACTGTGTGAGAAGTGTCATTGGAATCCGGAGACTCATGGTCACAGTGAAGCAGATGGCTGGCAAGCCCAAAGGCCTCGGCAGGGAGACGCAGTGGCAGAGGGGAGTAGTGGACTAGAGAACCTGCACTGGCTGGTGGTGAGTGCAGGAGACCTCCCGTGGGAGAGGGCAATTGGCTGGGCGCCATTTTGGAGTCAGGCAGGATAAGCCCAGAACCAGAACTGTGGCTGGTTTCATTCAGCCATTCCTAGTGCAGAGCAGATTGGTAAAAATTGCTTGGACTGAGTCCTGCCCCTGTGCGTGGTCCAACAGATAAGGCAAGGTTTCCCTAACAGTATCCCTAACCAACCCCACCCACACACTAATGTGGTGAAGACTCTCTGTGGATAACCATTTCAGAAGGGAGGGGCCAGCCTGCCCACCCTTGCTTATACTCCAGTGGTCACCAGCAGATTGAGGAAAGCAGCAAACAGCAGAAATCCCTAGCCAGCATACTTAAGAGTAATTATAACCAGTACAGAAATGCTGAGGACCCCACTATCCACTTGTCTGGAAGAAACCAGAAACATGACAAGAAGAAGAAACAAAAGTCAGTTTCCAGCCTCCAACCCAAGCAGTACTGGTCCAGGAAAGGTAAACACAGAAGAGATCGGGAGTCATGCACCTGCAGTTTCTGAAGTAACAGCAACTGACATAAAGTAACATCTTTATGAAACTATGAAAGAACTTAAAACAGAAATATTAATACAAGTAAAGGAAGATACAAGAAAAATAATAAAAGAAATACTAAGCACCTCTAAAGAAGGCACAGATGGAAGAATAGAGGAGCATAGAAAAAGGAGGGAAACCTTTAATGAAGAATATTTTAAAAATTTAGAACACATGAAACAGATTCAAAGAAAGTACCAGGAAATTAAAAATTTC